CGCGCGTTCCGTCACTAATAACCCCGTAATTGGTATCGAAGCTCGCCGCCACCGGATTACTGAACATCTAATTGAATGCGAGACGTTTCCTCAGCGCCGCCTGTGCTCTGCGGTTATCTTCTAGTGACACAGTAGTACGAGCAACTTAATTTTGTTGCGGTCAAGTTAGTCCATTTTACACACGTATGCAGGTTGTATGCCAACGATATAATTGTTGCTCAATTATACCGTCTTTTAATGATAAATTTAATTGCTGTAGCACCGAGCGTTCGCCGCATCAGGAGATCAAACGATATTCCCCCGCCCTACGAATAAGACTTTAAATTTCTCCAGCTATGTCGCATCCAAGTTTACGATGTCAAATAATCATTCGGTGTCAATTAGCTAATGAAAAATAAAATAGGCTCTGGTAATGTACTACTACCGTAATTAAAATTAGGATGATGACTGGATGGCGTCTGTTTTAAGTTGAATTTGATTAAAATCGCAGCAAACTCTGATGTTATCTTGTACGACACCGGATTTTGTGAAATTATAAACATACTCATAGTTGTATTTATATTTAAAAAAAGGTAAGGTAAGAATATAATTAAAAAAAAAAGAAGTTTACGCAGGTGCGAAAATATCAAAAAACCAAAATATTTTTTTTAGTTTTGATCTCATCAATAAAACGTAGTGAAGGGGTCTTGTGTGTGTATGTAATTGTGTGTATTATGTGCCGTCAAATTATTATCGCTTGTTCCTACAGTTTATGCTCTAAATGAGCATACGAAACGATGTTATCTGCAGATTCAAGTTAGGCTGTGAAATAAAAATATGAAACTAACTGTTTGGGGGTAGACAATAATTTAAGGGTCCTTAAAACCTACAGTGATGCAGAATACTCAAGCACCACAAGAACTTTCAAAGTGAAATTCTGCATTTGCAAAAAAAGGGTGTGATGCATCTTGTGACTGTGGAAAATTTGGACTGTGGAAGTTCTGGTCAAATCTGTCAGATTAGCGTTCCAATTACAGACCAACACGGTGCTGAAGTCATTGATAGTGATAATGAAATTATATTTTTATAAAAATATTTAGGGTATGAATACTTAAACTAAATATACTAATTACTTTTTAATTTTATGGCAATAGGGTATTTAAAAGGGTACAAAGAAAAAATTTGGGGTTGAAATCTCCAAATAGTGTTTCAAACTATATCTTTAGTCAAAATACATTGTCATTCGTTAAATGCCTAAATTTATGAATTTTGTTAATTTGAAATTAGTTTTCGCCCCTAAGAGTCATTAGCCAACACATCGGCATAGGGTAGATTTTGAAAAGGATGGTAAGTAGAGTTTAATTCCAAATTTTCAATAAAATCCATCTTTCTTGAAAACATTGGGAGGTTACGCCTCATTTTTACCGTCATTAACTGGACTATAGTAAAAGCGATTGAAATAAGAATATTGATCGGACTGTTAAAATAATGTTCCCAACTGTTGGTCATAATAATGAAAATGTGTTTTGTTCAGTACAGAGTATTATGCACTTCGAAACTTTGCGATGAAAGAGAAATCTTCATGAACGTGAATGAAGTTTGTTTTCCGACCGATGTATTGAAAAAAAATTGCGAATGTAAGAATGCAGTGTTTGTGCGGTGTGCGAGATGCCGTGAAAATTACTGTTTCCCTTGTTTTTACGATGGTTACCACTCTGGCTCATGTAACATTACACCCGATGTATAAAACAAACAAATACTGACCGAACAATAAAGTATTTAATTCGTTACCCGACGTTTTTCATTTGCATCCTAGAAATGTTGTTAGTTATAAATATTAATACTTGAAAATGTATTTTTATGATCAGGAGATAATTAAAATATGACTTGCGTTTTTCATTAAAAAAAAAAATGAAAAAAAAAAAAAAAAAAAAAAGTCCGAGTGAGACTCGATGCAGCGACCCCGCGATTACTAGTCTCGGCCGCTACCGACTACACCACGAGCCCGGCTCGAAAACCGGTGTAATCTTTATGGTATAAGAGTGCGCTCGAAAACTTCAAACTCCATTTTCTCGAGAATTTCTGAATATGGCGTCGAGCTGCTTTGGGATCTTAATATTGGGGGTCTGAACTTTACGTACCATGAGTATGAAAAATTACAAAAATCCGATTGCCGTAAGGTCCCCTTGTTAGTTACGTACCTACGAGGTTACAGTTAACCATATTTTAGGAAACAAAAACAATACGATATCATAGTAGTCTTTTCTGTTCTTACATATCTAACTTTATTTTTATCACTTTTATTGTATATGAATGGTTATGTTGTACATGTTTTAATGTGTTATATTTTCTTGGTGACCTAAGGAGATGATATAGAATAGTTTAAAATAAAAAAGAAATATCTTTGTGGAACACAAACAATACTTAGTTGTTTAGAAAAAAATGACAACACTTTGTTTGGTTTCCCTTATAACAAACTCAGCAATATTCTTCAGAAACGTAGGTACTACTATTCTACACATTCAGAAAAAGTTAAACACTTGTGTTGGTTGCAAGGCTCTGTAGCATGGCGTGGTTTTAGGTGTTGGAATGAAGTCATTCCACGTAACAGTTAACCCTGGATTTGTATCACACAGCTACAAACTGTTTATATTAAACTACATATAAATTAAGTGTTCGGTTTTTAATCTTAGCCAGACTACTTCTGTTTAACATAACACATTTGAACACTCGTGCTGGTGAAGTATTGTAGGGCGTGTAAGTGTTATACATACTCCTAGTTCAAGAGATAGTTCAATAATAATAATAGTCAGACAATGTGACATAAAAGAAATTTACATGTTAAATTACCCAGCCTTATTTGAATTATTTTTATTAATATTACTCGGACATTTCAAAAACTTGTTTAATCACTTGGTGCATGCAAGATGCACGATTTTATTAAAAAGGGTCATATTAACTTAGACATATAGTAGAGAGTACTGACAGACACAGTGGCACCTTGGCGATCTCGTACTCTGGTCATCCAGTCTACTGCTGCTGTGTTTATACATTTGAAATGCCACGTTGCTACGTTTTGAATAAATCTCTGGACCGATGCCAAATAATCTTTCAACAGGTAGATAAACTCCGCACATTTCTAATGACATCACATTCTGATACCTATCCACAAGTATTCTGATTCATCTCATTCAAAATATTCTTTACTACACAAGATATCACCGATATATTTTTAAAGATTTATGCAATCGAGTGCTTTTTCTTATAAACTATAGACTTTATTCACGTTGTGAAATATTGCTACGTTAGATTAAGAGACCACTGTTCTAAAAGCACGTGCACGTGCGTCGGACACTGCGGGGCCTGTTATTAACTTTTTAAAAGATTGTGTTAATTAGCGCACTTCAGGACGAGTCGCCCTCGAGCGCTGCACGGGACGGCACTGCGCACAGATAAAAAAGAACTATAATACACGATACACTCCACTACTAATTAAACGACTATGGGATGCACAGTTGCTTGGACAATAAATTACATATTTTAAAATATTGTTAAAATATTTGTTTACCTTGTTAAATTACGTTGCCTCATCGGGAATTAGTACGACTGTCCTTTTCATCCTTTTCAGTTGGAACTAAATAGTTTAAACAATTGTAATATAGACACCATTTAAAAAAGAAATAATTTAAAGATATTTTGAAGGTTTAAGGAGGGTTACCATCAAGAATTGTGGCTTAGTGTTTTTATAAATCTAATACATCGTGCTTGTGACAAAATCAACCGAATTTTCATCTAAGCTACCTAACTGATATAAAAAAAACAGCCAAATTGCGACAATGGGACGAAACCTATCAAATAACAATAAATAACTCATACCCCATAATTTAAGTGCATGTACCGTGTATCCTAATAATAAACCAGACCATACAATAATATATATAACAATAGATGTCCCCTTAAATATGTATTTTCATAAATATATACAAAAACTTATAGTATAGCATCTCAAGCTTACTTATAACTTACCACAACGGAGATCGAAGATGACAGATGCTCAAGGACAGTGCATTATTTTGTAATAAGAAACATAGTAGTACGAACATAAAACTGTTGTTCGAACCCGCTCTAGCGTCGTGACTTGAGCGGGTGCGAAGCATCTGGGCCTCAATTCTGCTATTCTATTATAATATTGTATCAATAGACTGTCGATGGAATGTCGTCTGAATAGTTTTGCACTTTTCGTATTCTACTATGTGAGACCTGATGCCTTGTCACTGAACTGCCACTGATACAAATGTCGTCGATGTCTAGGTAAATACATAGTTTGGTAAACAGTACGTTTTTAAATTTGTCAGGAAATGATGATATATAATTTTACAGACATGGAAATGTTTTTGATAACACTAATACATTGTCAGCATATTAACACTGTGAATTTATGTTAGAAGAATACCAATATTTTGACCGAAGTCAATGGCATCTCAACAGCGTGACAATGGAATGATAGTGGCTTGTACGTTAACATAAAATAGCGGAATTGAGGCCCTGTTAGCATAACTATGTATTCTTACAGACAAGTAGTTTGTTGGTGATATACATAAGATTTAAACATCGTAACCGTATCCTTACTGTGATCCATATAGACAACACTCCAGAAGCATAGATATAATCAGCGTATTCTTCTGCTGTTCATTACTATTAATACTACTACTATTACTATATCTATATAAATAATAGTATCACATGTTATGCAATATCGACAACATAAATTGATGATTTTAATTCATTTTTTGCAAAAAGAAAAACGAAAAAAAGGACTAAGTTTGCAGAAAAAAAAACGATATTTACGAAAAAAAAATTCGTTCTCTACTACGATCAAATAGTTTATTTTAGTAATATCTAAATAAATCATTAACACTCACTTTTTGGGCTCATGCTGCAAATTTACTGATGTTGCAATATTAATTTTTCTATTAATAATGTTTATCGCTGTTTACCAGAGTTTTTTTCTTTTATTTTAGCAATTGTTCCGGTCGCAACAAGCAGCAGCAGCAGGGGGACAAGCGGCGGCAGCGCAGTTACAGCTTCTGCAACAACAACAGCAGCAACAATTTCAACTACAACAACAGCTAGCCGCACAGCAAGCGTTCTCACAAGCGCCGTACGTTATTAACGCCGGACAAGAGGGTGCGCCCTATGTGAGTGCACTAATAGCAGGTGTGCCACCGTACTACGGCGTAGCAGCTCCGTGGGGCGTGTATCCTGGTCTTGTGGCGCAGCCAGCACAGCAGCAGGCACAACAACCTCGCCGACCACTAACCCCGCAGCAAGGCGAGCAGCAGGTGAACGGCCAGGGGCAGTATGTAATACCCTATTATGACCCTGGCTCGTTGGTCATGGGCGGACGGAACGGCACGCCGTTGAGGCTAGTGTCTCCAGGCGGTGTGCTAGCGCCACGCCAGTATCCTCCAGCACCCGCGCATCCTGGCGCCAATGCAGCGCCACCAACTACTGCGCAACCTCAGCAACCGCAGCCTGGTAAGTTCGTTAAAAAACCACACACCCTAAACGCTCACTGTTGCAACTTTTTTTTTTAATTATTACTCATAATTTGGACAAAAATTTAGATATTATAATAACGTTTATTTAAAAAAATATGGTCTGGTGTAAATAATGCACGCGTATTTTTTCAATTTGGTAATAACTGCGAACAAACACGTAGAAGTATCAAATTGATATTAAAATAACAGCAGCGACATGTCCGTGAAATGATTTTATACTGATTATTCTACTACAGGTCACTTGCAGTTCGTTATTTTTTACGCTACGTTAATTGAGATAGTGTCATCTACTCTTCCTTCTTTTCGAAGACTCCCAAAGTCTCAAAAGGATGAGGAGGTTGTCGATTCGGTTGATTTCTTTACTTTATTTATCATCAAGTCAATTTTAAATAGGGTGAATTTGAAGCTAAGGTTCTGAAAAGCACACAGTTCAATGCTTCATGGACACTGTTAACCTACATCTCGAAAAACACAATAATTTTGGATGTGCTCCTACTCGACCTAAAACTTTTAGCAGAAATCCGTGATAAATATTTATTATCATCTTGGTGTGTGATGCTAAAAGTTGTATTATTTTACGTACCATTATGTACTTGTCATAATTATAAAGAAAAAAGTTCATTTAATATCTATAAAGATTTTTTAAATATATATTTTTTCGATTTTTTTATTAAAACAAGTTATTTAGTACAACAGAGTTGAACACAAGTTTATCATTATTATAAACATTACGTGCGTGTGGTGACGGATCAAGAATACAGAGTGTCACCACCCCTATTCATCCCGTGGGTGTCGTAAGAGACGACTAAGTGAGAAAACTACGCAGAACAACAGCACTGCAGAGAGAAGGAAAACTGGACACAAACCCTTTACCAACCCGTCTGGCCAGCGTGGTATAGTAGGCCAAAACCTCCTTTCTAAGGAGAGGCTTATGTCCAGCAGTGGACTATTAAAGGCTGTTGATGATAATAAACATTACGTGAAAACGACTACATCCAGCTAGTGTAGTGTATTGTTGACCTGTAGTGGCACGGAAAGGCTAATGTAAGTTTAACTTTTACTCGAAATAAATGGACGCTCTCTAGTATACATAAAATATAAAACATATGAATTGTGCAATTATTTTCTCCTTACCCTTGTATAACAGAATAACGCTGAGAGTTATTATTCGTTATATGACTGTAGTTGGGAAACAGAAACGACAAAATGAATTTCTCTCAAAACCATTAGCTCACAAAAAATATTGAAAAACTTATTCATAAAAAAATTGTAACAGTGAGAGAGAGTTAGCATAACATTAACAATGTATATACAATTTAATATACACTCATCAGCATTTATTACTTATAAATTATTAAGTACGCTCAAACGCTAGCGCATGGCGTTATTAAAATTTCAACTTGGTAGTCTTGGTAGGTAGATAGTCTAATTGATATTCCTAATTACCAACGTACTAAATACACGTAAAAAGCTTCTTGAATAATAATTTACAGTTTAAATTTGTAGTTGTTGTTATAATTAATCTAAAAATCTTCATATTATTATATTTAGTTAATATAAATAGCCAATTTTATGTTGTGTCTAACCCACACTGACGGGGTAATTAAGTTTATCCTCGGCGCCCTTTACTTACTAGAATACCTACTTACGTTGTTTTTTAATAAAAAAATTAACCTCAATGTATCAGTATTGTACATACTACTTTTTACTTTTCTAATTTTTTTTGTGGATTGCTATTAATTCTTTACTTTCATTTTGATTAGTGTATATAATTCGTAAAATATTACATAATATAAACTTAGCTTTTAGATATATATATAATAATACACGTAACCTGATATTTGAAACGTAAGAAAAATTTGTTTTATCACTATATTTATGTGTATCTTAAATCATGTAAATAGGTGATTTAAACTTGATTATAGCAACTAACTCTTTTATAACATGAACATTATAATATCGACGGTAAAGTGCCAATACGGAGATAGGACCTTACTATTTTTCATCAACAGCCTTTACCTTTCTTTTATGGAAGAAGGGGCAAACGAGCAGACGGCTCATCTGATTGAAAGCGACTACCGCCGCCCATGAACGCCTGCAACTCAGGAGTCACACGCTCGTTGCCGGCCTTTGAGGTAGTTGTACGCTCTTTTCTTAAAGGTTTGAAGGTCGTATGAGTCCGGAAATACCGCAGACGAAAACTTATTCCACAGATTGATTGTGCTAGGCAAAATGTGTCTTAAAAAGCGCACAGTGGTGTAGTTCCAATTATCATAGAGGTGAGGATGAAAATTTTGCCTTGTGGAACTATAGCGGAAAGTTTAGGCGGGTATTAGTCCGAACAATTACTCGGAACACTCCATGATATATACGATAAAGAATGCAAGTCCGACGAATGAAGAAGAATGCAACCGATCGAAGGCCGTCGCTATGTCCAAGCTTATCGCACAAGCCTCTCGTTTGGTCTCGATCGCCTGTGCCCACCGGTGTGTTAGATAAGCGAGATCAAAAAAGTATACAAAACCATGTCAAGTTTAGGATCTTTCGTCATTCTTAGAAACAAAATGGGCGTGCATGCAGTACAATCAAAGCCCGCTTCTTCATATCTCTTTAGTCAGTTTGTTACTTTCTGTACACAAGACGCATCAAAACATACTGTCGAGTGTTTCGTACAACTTTTAACATGACGCAAAGAAAAAGAAAACAAATTTATATCGAGGAAAAAAATCGCGTATTATGTCAAAACTTAGACAGCACACTTCCAAACAAAGACTTGGCAAAAGAATATGGTGCATCACGCTCGACAATTTCAACCATTTGGAAAGAGAGAGAAAAAATTAAAACCCTTTATGACAGCATTTTTTGAAAACAAACCAGAGGATGCTTTGTTAAAGTGGTTTAAATATCAAGTTAAGACCAAAAACACATCATGTTAAATAGCCTCAACTCTTTTTTTCTTCACCAACAGCAAATGTCCCTTTTACAAGCATTATTGTCATTTTTCAATTTTTATGATTGCGACCACGTCTGCTCGTGAACGTTAACAAGTAGGTAATATACATATCTGTTGAATTCAAAAACAAGATGTATTATTATTGTAAGTTAAAATCTTACACATTAATTTTACACGAGAGCGTTTGTACTTATTGTATTTTTCAAAAAAAACTTCATTTTCTTATTTACAATACATTGCACAAATAAATTCATTTTAAGTGTTTGTGTAAATACACTTTACCAGTGACCAGACCCGACAGAATCCCTCAGGTCTCTGCCCAAGTGTTCTTTTGACTAAAATCTACGTTTAATTAACTGTCGACGAGAGAATCGGCTCTATTGTATTTGTGGTATTTGAAATTTTCATAGTTTTAGTTTAAAAAGTAGTTATTGTAGATACCTTGAAACTTATCTATACTTAGTGTAAATAATATATGTAGGTAATGTTGTTTATCATTCGTAGTTTGTATTGACCGACCAAATAGTTGAAAATAGCACCCTACTCTGCCCCCTCAAGAATTTCTACTTTAAATGTTAAAGGTTCACAATGTCACTAGTGCTCTATAGCTACTGTAAAATTAATCGGAAGTACAATTATGTCTAACCTAAACTAATCGTTGTATTTCTTCACCAATCCTTGTGCATAACTCTTTCACCATACGATATGATAAATAATAACGTTTTCGGAAACGTAAATCTATAATACGTTTATTACATTTGTATTGTGTGTACATGCTAGTGTTGCGCAGTATATGTGACAGAATCGCAGAACCGGTGGACCGGTTTGCGTGTCTGTGTGTCTACGGTGGGGCTGGAGCGCGGAGGTATGTCATGTTACAGGCGGTGCCACTGCAACACGGCGTGATTCTCTGGAGTTCGGCGCAGGACCTGCTTCCGCACTGCAGGAATACGCAGCGCGCAAGTGGGGTCCTTCGCCGCTGTCACCTCCCCTTGGCGCGCTAGGTCCCGTGGGACTACGACCAGTGTCGGCCGCGCCTGGCGCTGAGACCGCCAAGTACAGGTGCTCACACACCCGTCACACTCTTGGAGCCTACACTCCGTGCGTTGCTTCTCTGAACTAGCTCATTAATTCTGCATAATAACAGTTCTTCAGAGCATTTATTTGTGTTTGTGTTTTGTTGTATCTCCTATTCTTGAATTTGGAACAGGATCGAAACGAGTCCTTAAAAAGAGCATAAAAGAACATCTTAAAACAGGGATTTAGTATAATAGTGGCAAAAGTAGAACACAAGCGACGTGAGAGGGTTGCATGGGGTGACGCACGGAGAGGTCGACTTTGTACATTGTAAATATTTGTTTGCCTACGTTGTTAAATACAGTTGTTAATTTTGTACAGATGTGCCTTTGCTGGCATTTGAGCATGTGCCTTAATCGTTTCATTTGTAGCTTACTAGTAAAAGTGGCGTTTTCCTTTAATAGCTATACGTTTATGTTTCAGAAATGTGAGCAGTTTAGCGCAGGGCCTTACATCGAACGGAATGTTTGGGTCGTCATCTTCCCTCCTGAGCAAACTCAGTGGAGTGGGAACAATATCAGGTGTGTAGTGTACACCATTATTCTTCTCAACCTTTGTAAATGTTGTAAATAGTTCTTATTAGAGGGCTTGTACCTTCCGACAACAGCCAATTCAAGTTATAGGTATGCGACCGCATATATTTCAGTCCATCCTCATAAGGAATATCCCATTCGTTACCATCGTCTTACATTACCTAGTTTTCCTTGTATTCTTCAAATTTCTAGTGTCGAGTGGAGGGCAATATAACGTGAACGAGACCAAAATTATAGTAGGCAAAATACTCGTGACGTGAGTGCACATGTACGTGAATAAACAAACGAAACAAAAAGGAATGAAGAATGTACACTCACACCCAAGATAAACCAATACGTGTTTTATGGGTGTTTCATGTTATACTGTTTTTCTTATATAAATAAAAAAAAAAGTAATATATTTTTCTTGTATGATACAGGAATTGCTTTAATAAGACATTCCTATGAGTGATTATAGAATATTGATACACATTATAAAGCATTATGTCTATACCATTTTACACTTTCTTCTAAATGGCTGTGGGAATCAGGATTGTCAACTTATGTTTAAATAAAAACTGATTAGTCCATCCGCGTTAAGAAAATAGTGACTCATCGTTGTCACCTGATTAAGCCCCGCCCCTTGATCAAGCTTCCAAAATTATACGGACTGTACGAACGTTTTTTTTTATTGACACAAAAGGTATAGTTCGGAGTTAGTTATAAAACGTCACAAAACCTTAACAGGTTTGTCTGGACGTTGAAACACTCTTAATTGCACTCTTGAGCTGGGTATTTCGCCTTTTCGTAAGAATAAAAGTGTATCAATAATTCGTAATGGAGATAAACTTTAAAAAGAGTTCGCCTTTGATATTGATTAATTTAAAAAAGTTTAATCAAAGTTCCATGAAGAAGCTTTTTACAACCACCGACGGTCAGCAGATGTTATTAGTAGAGATGCCACGAATATTCGGCAAGTATTCGGTATTCGGCCTATTTTATTTTAACAGTAACATATCATATTAATAGTTTCAACAATTTTTTGCGCTTTTCCTCATAAATTATAAATGCTTCGAAAAATAGCCGCTCACTGTATAGACTGCTTCCAGGAGATGATAAATAAATCTTAGCAAATTGTGTTAAGTTAGAATATTGTTATTTGCGTTTGCTGGCCATTTTACTGATTCAGATTTAAACCCGCGAAAGGCACTAAGTGTTGCCGAATATTCGGCTCTTCGGCCAAGAGACTCACCGAATATTCGTTATTCGGTGTAATCACCATACGTGGCATCTTTAGTTATTATGCATTTGTTTTATTTCAAAAGAACATTTATGTTTAGATAAACTTAAGTGTATAAAAATAAAAATTGTTGGCCAAATGTAAATTGTTTGAATTTTTACTCTATTTCGCAAAAATCTTTACCCCCGATGTGTCACTATTTTCTTGGACAAAAAAATCTTGTCTGTAGTACAACGCAAATTTAGTCAACTATAATTTGTTTATCGATCTGGTACGCCGGTTTGGTTAATACGCTGTGTTATAGCACTCAGCACATCTGGTTTACATTTAACGCATATATCGATGTCTATTGTGTGTTGAGTTTGGCTTCACTGTTAGGAATTTATGAACTTAAACCGGCCAAATGCGTTCTGTAATGTTGCGGGTGTTTGGTTGCAGAGCTGGTGGGTGGTGGTGTGGGCGTAGGCGGGGTGACCGTGGGCGGAGTAGGTGTTGGCGGCGTAAGTGTGGGTGCACTAGTGGGCGACAAGCCGCCTGCCGGTCGCAGCCGTCTGCTTGAGGACTTCCGCAACAACCGTTTTCCCAACTTACAGTTACGAGAACTCGCCAACCACATTGTAGAATTTTCACAAGACCAACACGGCTCAAGGTAAGACTTTTAAGGTATTTAACGTTTCTAAGCATCTCCAAAAATCTCGTATTCATTGTAAATTGTAAGTAATATACGAACATAAACACTACACGTCTTCAATTCTAAATATGTTATGTATATAGTGTTTCCTGAGTTAAATGTTGAGCGCAATGGTGTAAACAGTAAAAAGTTTATGTTCAAAACTTTATAGTTGTAAATTGTAGATTGGTACACAACCATTTCGATGCAAAATATCAGGTACGCAAATAGATACAAATTCAATTCGCCTAAAGTAATGCGCAAATAACAAGAAAAAGATTGGGTCGGGGGGGGAAAGATTGGGTGGATCGGGAACAACCCTAGTAATAGCACCCTTATTACTAGGGTTGTTCCCGGTGGTCCCAATAATCAGTCTGGTGATCGGGGATTTAGTTTCGGACGTTTTCTTGATAGGACTAATTAAGAATATCAGTCTTAATTTATATCCTTTTGTAAGGAGTATTATCAGAAAAACCTATGGTACCTTTTAGTATATGTGCATAAAATACATTTTCATGGACTATCTAACAAATTAAATAGACACGTTACAACTTAATTAGAATTCTATCAATCTACGATCTACTACTACCACGTACCACTATCTAATACCCAAAATAACGTTATAATGTTGATACCTTAAACATTATACATAAACTTTTTTTAATAGTACACACTACTGTCATCATCAACAGCCTATACTAGTCCACTGCTGGACATAGGCCTCTCCTTAGAAAGGAGGTTTTGGCATACTATACCACGCTGCCCAGACGGGTTGGTATAGGGTTTGTTTCAAGTTTTCCTTCTCTTTGCAGTGCTGTTGTCCTGCTTAGTTTGCTCCCTTAGTCGGCTCTTACGACACCCACGGGATGAATTGGGGTGGTGACAATTTGTATTCTTAATCCGTCACCACACGGACACACACTACTGTAGTATAAGTTAAATACAATTTTCTTAAAAAAGGTGACCGCTTTGATCCGTCCAACTACAGGCCTATACCCTATAACCCCCTTGTTCTAGCCTTGTAATAGCCGGGGAACCAGGTATACCCTAGAAAGGAAGTCCCTGGTGCCCCGACATGGCCCCTCCGGTACTTAGAAAATAACCAATTTCTCAATGACCAACAATATAGTTTTCACCGGGGTCGCTCAGATGGTATCTTCTCGCTTATTCGGTGGGCACAGGCGATCGAGATCGAGGGAGAGGCTTGTTCGGTTAGCTTGGACATGCGAAGATCGATCGGGTCTGGCCTGAGGCGCTTCTCTTGAAGCATCCTTGAGAAGCAGTTTCTTTGCAGACACAGAAGCATTAAGGTCGTTGTCGACGATGCATACTCCGACTTAAAATCTGTAAATACTGGTGACCCACAAGGCTGTTCTATCACCCACACTGTTTCTTCTGCATATTAGTGACATGTTGCGTGCGCTTTTCTAGACACTCTTTTTTACTCTCTTTTTTTACTCCTGCCTAAAATACCGGCCACTTGTGAATTATCAGTTGCAGTCGTTCATGGGCGGCGGTAGTCACTTTCCATCAGGCGACGTGTCTGCTCGTTTGCCCCCTCTTCCATAAAAGAAAGGTTTTATGCTTATGAGATCTTGCACAGCATACGAAGCATCGCTAAGATCAAATTGTAGTTCTCTTGAAATGGTTTTAGAAACTATTTTATCTATAAAATAGGTCACAATAATGTGAATTAATTTACGCAGACACTGGTGATTTCCCAAGTACAAGATGAGCTGGCAGTCGATTGTGGATTCCATAATCTTAGAGTATAAACGTTATGGTTATGGCCATTGGGCTTTAGTTGGACGAATCCAAGCAGTGACTTTATTCCATCACAAAGATAGTTATAATTTTTAAGAATATAGATTATATTTTTTATATTTTTACCTATAGTAATTGTGGGCGAGAAAACTTTGACGTTGTTGATGTACAGCAATAGTATTTGTACAGACGAATAACGTTTTTGCTACTGATTTAAAAAGTGTGAAATTCTTTAGTGAACATTTTATAACATAAAAAAGAATTTACTGAAACTTTGATTCGACTCTCAAACTAAATCACATCTTATCACACCTCTATTTTCTTCTATTTTAAGAGCTATTAGCTCAATTAGTAAATAACATTCTTTAAAACTCCCAGGCTGCTAGGCGATGCCGAAATGGAGTTATTTCGTTTTAGGTTCGAAAATTCATTAAATAAAAACAGAGTTCAGCGAACTCACGCGATAAAAACGATGGTGTTTATCAACATACAGTAAATTATTATGAACTTGAAGTCTCTTAAAATTAGGACAGGATTTAATATCAACCCAGACAAGTGAAGGGAACGTCTGATTGAGACAAATACTTTAAATTTAAAAATTTGTTCATTCAAATGCATTAATACAGTCTTTTGCGACAGTCAATTGGCTAGCTTTGTGAAGATATATTAGTGGGAAGACAAAGATTCTCGAAATTTTAGACACTGCTAAACTTCTAGTCCAGGTACTAATCATGACCTTATTATATTATAATGATCTGACTTTGATCATGACCTTATGATTTTGATTTAAGGTAATTTTAACATTTACAAAAAAAAAACAGTTTTACTTATTTGTTTTGGTCACATTTCTTAAAATGATATTTTAAAGACATAATTCACCCAAAGTTAGATTTATAATAAAATGTTGTATGAAGTCGCGACACTGCGCCGCCCAGGGATTTTTCTTAAATATGTTAAAATAATTCTAAAATAAAAAAGAAAAGTGTTTAACTCCATATGTAACATAATATATGTTTCCTGTTTTGTGAGAAACGAGTGAAATTCGTTTTTATGATTTTTTTTTTGGGATTTGCTATTAGTTATTGTGTTCATTGGAAATCTTTATTATTTATAATTGAATTGTAAGTATGTTTATCATTTTTCATTCTGGAGCACAATTTGACCATATGCCCTTTATCATACTTACACATAATGGAGCGTATGTCTCTTTTAATTTCTTAAAAATAATCTGCTAAAGTAGCTAGATAGGCAATAAAAATTATTTATTCGAAAAATACATATTTGTATTCCATATTCTTCAAATCTAGTTTATCCCTCCCTCTGATTGTCATCAACCAGCGGCGGCTTTCAACCTCGAAGTCTGCTCTAAACTCTTACATACCTTCCACAGATTTCTTTCGTTAAATGTTTTCGTCTTAATGTTTTTTTTAATACACATTTCACACACGGCCGTCTGATCCCAAACTAGGCAGAGCCTGTGCTATGGTGACCAGACTGCTGATAAACATACTTATGTATTTTTAAATACGTCCAAATTATAGATAAATTACACCCAGACACAGAACAAATGATCATGCTCATCACACAATATTTGTCCTGGGTGGAAATAAGCGAACCCACGACCTCCGGCTTAGCAGTCAGGGGCACTAACCACTAGACCAACAGGCCCGTCAATTCTCTGAAAGAAAAACGAAATCCGTTTTAAAAATGTTTAATATTCTTTTCTAACTAATTATTACTCTCATCATATCTACACATTAATAGGGGGCGTGAACACTTAGCATCTCTTTTGTTGCAAAATTCGTGGTAAAATTTAATGAAATTTATGAAAAAAAGAAATGGCTGCAACAATATACATTTGGCCATATGTTAACCTGTCATGATACGGTAGGTCTTTTCAATAACAGTTCACCCTTAACTAGAAATTAATAACTTGATCTAGGTTAATGGAATGTATTCCAGATGTCTAATTTATCCAGTGTATTTTATTATAATTATTTATTATTATTTGTATGCTTCCCCGAACTGAAACTGATTGAAGGGAACACACAAAGGGCAGCCACGCAGCTATGTCTTGAGTTGCAGGTGTCTATAGGCGGCTGTTGATTGCCACTTACCATTAGGTGACCCGTCTGCTCGTTTACGCCTAACAACAACATGTGCGTGTTAGCTTACATCAGGGATTCCCAAACTTTTTAGGGCATAGACAAATTACTGCACGCTTATCGATTTGAGCATTTTAAAAGTACAACAATTCCTAATTCCTACTTAAATATTAGTCATTCTCATTCTTATAACAAGTTGGTACGTAACACAACACACAGTTTCTTGAAAGTTACAAATAAGAACTTGTGTTAATTAATAGGGGTCGATTTTTAAACCTCGTTGATCCCCAAAATCAGTTTTCGTTTATATCGACCCCCGGGAAACCGATTTCGATCTCAAGGGGGAATATCGACCACTTTGGGAATCCTTGGTTTACATAGTATTTAATTTTGTTTTAGATTCATCCAACAAAAATTAGAAAGAGCTACGGTTCAAGAGAAGCAAATGGTGTTCAATGAAATTATCGGCGCCGCGTATAGTCTCATGACAGACGTTTTTGGGAACTACGTAATACAAAAATTCTTTGAGTTTGGAACGACGGAACAGAAAACGACATTAGCACAGAAGGTATACTTGTGATACATTTTACTACCTTTACTATATGGTTGTCTGTGTCCAATAAACATTCACAACACTAAACATGCCACTTTTGCATTCTTAATACTTTAATTTTGCCGAAAACTATCGATTTACACGCACGTATTATTTTATTTGAAGGTCCGCGGGCATGTGTTAAACTTAGCTCTGCAAATGTACGGATGTCGAGTGATTCAAAAAGCACTTGAGTCGATACCAGCTGAGCAGCAACAAGAGGTCGTACGCGAACTCGACGGACATGTGCTTAAGTGTGTAAAAGATCAAAATGGCAACCATGTTGTAAGTACTTTATCTATAATAATGACCGAATACTAATAACAATAACACTAACTTTTTAATCGTGTGGTAACCCCTCGGAAACAGTTTGGTTTAGAGAAGCGTGCGCGCTTTGGCACTCCCCAGACGGTCGTAGGTCGTGAGGTATTTCACTGTGCGGGAGTTTCGGGCGTTTTTACTCAATTTTCTTGGTATGTCAAAATGAAGATAAAAGGGTCGCACGCGCTTTCGCTCCCTTTCCTACCGTAGCACTATCTTTAGCACTATTATGTCGAGTTCTACTCTCCACACTTCCACACTAATTGGCACAAGGTCATATTATACTTTTGCTAACTTAACTATTTTTAGTTTGTAATTCACAATTAATCGAAAGTGCCTCTGCCGGCTATACAAAAATTATATTATCAATGCCATTGCTGTGAAATTAGGAGATTATTATTTTGCATAGCCCATATTATCTTATAAACGAATAATTTATAGAACTGTGTGTGAAATAATAAGAATAAAATGTTGTATTGATGTAAATTACTCAATCTATCTATACGAGTACTTTTTAAAGATAAGAGTTACCACTGAACAAAATCAATTGTTGTATAAATTATAAACAGTTGCACAAACACCCTTATAGTATATGCAATATTTTTAGGTACAAAAATGCATTGAATGTGTCGAACCGACGGCATTGCAGTTTATAATCAACGCATTTGCGGGGCAAGTGTATGCATTGTCCACTCATCCATACGGGTGCCGCGTCATACAGCGCATCCTCGAACACTGCACGCCCGAGCAGACCGCGCCCGTGCTCAGTGAACTGCACGCGCACACCGACCAGCTCATACAGGTATTACATTCGTATCTTAACATCTATTTAACAAATTGAAATGAGTTAACTACATAATCTTAAAATCGATTATATTTATGTATACACATGACCAATAATAACAGAATATGTTTATGGACCAACTGCAACATAATACGTACCTGTTATTTAATTTAATCTAATTAAATGCCACAGTTTTGTATTTTATGTTTATTAAAGTTTGTAGTGGCTTTGCTAATGACAAAACAGAAATTGATGGTATTAAAACCAAAGTTTGGTGCTCTGAACATGTTCAATATCAACGTTTCAAATACATAAAATATCATCATCATATACTATTAATCTAACTTGTAAAACATCCATCCCTCTTAGTTAGTTGAACATTAAGAAATTAGAATAACGTAAACACAACTTTTAAATTCAAAACATTTTAATTTTCAATTGGAATGACTTTTGTAAAAGCAATTTTAAAGAGTATGTATGTGAATTCGGGCGCAGGACCAGTACGGCAACTACGTGGTGCAGCACGTGCTGGAGCACGGCGCGGCCGAGGACCGCTCGCGCCTCGTGGCCGGCGTGCGCGGCAAGGTGCTGCAGCTCTCGCAGCACAAGTTCGCCTCCAACGTCGTGGAGAAGTGCGTCTCGCATGCCACGCGCAACGAGCGCGCCTTGCTCATCGACGAACTCTGCGGATTTAACGACAAGTGCGTCAAACGATACACCCTACACTACTCGCTTTCTTTATTTACTGATTTATAACGTTAATACTTGGGAATGCTGCTTTGAAACATGTTTGCTGCTGTAATACATCATCGTCTTCTACCCTTCCCCTAAAATTGATTTGGGGTCTGCGCAATGCGTTTTCTTCCATTCTCCTCTCTCACTCGTCAGTTCACTGCTTGTTCCCTTTCTAGCCATATCTTCTTTCACGCCGTTCATCCTTTTTGTTTTGGTCTTCCTGTACTGTCATATCTGTCAACTTCGATACATGATACTTTCCTTACAACATTTTGCTCATCACATGTCCATACCAGCATAACCTACTCATCATTTCAACCACTGGTACTACTTTCAAGCTTCCTCTGACGTAGTATTTCTTCACCTTGTCCATACTAGTCACACCACACATCCATCTTAGTATTTTCATTTCTCCTACATGTTTTCCTCCTACTTTCTTTCTACACTAATTATTTTCCTAATCTTATATACTACTAAAGTGAAAGCTACAGAAAGTATTATGTTTACGAGTACGAGTTTAATTTTGCATTATTCGGTTGCAGCGCTCTCCACGTCATGATGAAGGACCAGTACGCAAACTACGTGGTACAGAAAATGATTGACGTTGCGGAGCCTACCCAACGGAAGGTGCTGATGCACAAGATTCGACCGCACATTGGTTCGTTGCGCAAATACACGTACGGGAAACACATTATCGCAAAATTGGAGAAATTCTTCATGAAGGCGCCGGAACTGGGACCCATCGGGCCTCCGCCGCCTAACCCTGTACTGTAGTCTGTGTAAAGTATTAAACGTCCGCGGGTGTAGGCTGATGCGACGGCGCGGGTATCGCCCCGCCTATTATAAATTTTGTGAATATTTGCGATTGTACATTTGTAACTATAGAGCTCGTCGCTTCGTCGCCCGCCGCCCGCCGACCCGCTCTCGCAGCGCCTGTACAATCTGATTAGATAATAGTGTTGCGCGTGTCATAGAGTTAAGTGTGGCGGGGAGGGCGGGGGACGGGCGTGCCGGGCGCCTGTACATACGTAGCGGCAGACTGATGTACAGAACGATACGATATACGGTATACTGTAACAATAGTTGTACAGCGTCGACGCCGACTCCGGTGCTCGGCCGTCGCGTCACCGCGGCGTAGCGTTCATTGCGTTTCTAGCTCTAAGTGTTCTAGTATTATTCGTTGTTCGTATGAATCTATGTATAAATATTTGAACGTCTCTCATTCTCGTGTAATTTATGAATCGAAGGGAAGCGGCGGTTTAAGACGAACCCCGGTGTTTCCATAATTTTAGCTCGTTGTAGATTTACTATTAGCTGGGCTAGGGGACCTTGAATCTTCTAGAGCGATAAAGAGATGCCGCAGGCAGTTCTGGACAATCGACACTATAGTCGTGATTATTCTATTATTATTTTGTACTATTCTTCAAGTCAAGCTCTCGTTTAAGTTATAAACCGGCTATAAAATCGTACATAGCTTATCTTGTTTAGTGCCGGAGTGTATAGTTCGTCGATTATAATTTTGTGAAAATGATATTTTTGTATATTTTTATGTAATTAATTTAAGTTATTTAGTTAATGAGTCTCCGAAAATGTTCGGAGCGAGCGCTTACGAGTTGGCGATGCTTATGTTTAGTGTAGGCGCCGGTTTCCCGGCGCGTTTAGGTTATAGTGATGATTGTAAAGTCCTGTACTGATAGTTGTAGTCCCGAGGTCTACCTTGCCGGTCGCACGTCACAAGCGTAGCTACTCCTCATTCCCCCTGTGTAATTAATTTTTATAGGAAGCGTAGTTTCCTACGACACCTCAAGATTTTTTACGTTTAGATGTAATTGAAAATAAAATTATTGTATATGGCTGTACAAAAATGTTAACAAAATGATTTGTAAAACCCGTATGTGATGGAATAAGACGAGACGTCGAGAGCAGTGAGGTAAGACTTATCACGGCTCTGAACGTCGCGGCTTGTAGGTTGTACTAGATAACATTTATATGATGATCCATCTATTTAGACATTAATTATAATAAAGCATTTCTGTAATAATATTACAAAGAATCTGTCGTTTTATTACTAATATATTACTACTCATACACCTTTATATACCTTCTTTTTTTTTATCTTTTTCCACAGATGTGGCAAGTGTGGACTTAAAGCCGTAGGCATTTTCTCCCAGTCGACTGCATATGCATAAAAATAAAATAAAATGATTTTTTTACAAATAGTTATATAGGATATTCGGCGTTGAACAAAACAACCGAATTACTGAGACTAGGGGACACATTTTTTGATAGAGAGACAAAATATCTACATATAAACCTACCTATTTATGGAAAATAGCCAGGTTTTAAAAATATCTTAGAATTTTTAAAGAAAGGTGTACGCAAGGTTTTAATGATGATGGCCAAGCCAGTGTCAGTGACACTGGCTTGACCACCATCATGGCTTTTGTGTCCGTTTGGATTGAGGGTGTGCGTTACCCCAGCAAAATAATGTCGAAAATATTCATTTAAACGGTATAGATAATTAGTTGCTCCCCTTCTGTAATAGGGTAGATGACTGTCAAGTCAAATCAGTAACTTTTTTAAACGTCAAAACGCTAGACGCGGTACATTTTTGTATGAAATACTGTTTCGTGACGTCAGACCTAGCTATTGTCAAATCATTTATATTTAATGTTGATATCAAGATATCAAATCAATAAAACATTAAATTGATAATGGAGGACAATTCAGGCTCTACTTTGAGATGTTACATTTAATGATGCAGGCGAAATAATTTATTTTTAACCTAGGAATCTACCCTATTGTTAGGCACATTTTTCAATTTGTTTCACTTAAACTTTTTTAGTTATTTCAAAAAAACATTTCCTGCTGGGGTAACGTTTGAAACGTTACCGCAGCCAGACATTTTCTTTTTTAATTGTAATATTGAAATAAATGTTAGCTAAATAATTAGTTATCTGGACTATGTAGGTAAATGTTAAACTTATTTGGCATTTGTATTTTCTTCGGCTGCGAAGTTATTCGAGATCCTGCTGGAGTAACGTTTGTGGGTTTGCTGGATCTCTGAAACGTGTAAGCTGATTATAACCATCTTTTGTACATAACTTCTTAAGGATTAGTTTTAATTTGTTCGACAATAAAATAACAAAAATAATGGACCGTTTAAAAATTATTTAGGTAAGTATGAAAACACTTCAATACGTCTTAACACTTTGAATAAGACCTCTAAAGACTTACTTCAAACGTTATTCTATTGCTTGTTACTACCTTCAAATGTATCTGTGCGTTACCCCAGCAAAATAATGTCGAAAATGGTCATTTAAACGTTATAGATAATGAGTTGCTCCCCTTCTGTAATTGTTAGGCACATTTTTAAATTTGTTTCTCTTAAACTTTTTTAGTTATTTCAAAAAAACATTTCCTGCTGGGGTAACGTTTGAAACGTTACCGCAGCCAGACATTTTCTTTTTTAAATGTAATATTGAAATAAATTTTAGCTACATAATTAGTTATCCGGACTAGGTAAATGTTACAACTTATTTGGTATTTGTATTTTCTTCGGCTGCGAAGTTATTCGAGATCCTGCTGGAGCAACGTTTGTGGGTTTGCTGGATCTCTGAAACGGGTAAGCGGATTGTAACCATCTTTTGTACATAACTTCTTAAGGATTAGTTTTAATTTGTTCGACAATAAAATAACAAAAATAATGGATCGTTTAAAAATTATTTAGGTAAGTATGAAAACACTTCAATACGTCCTAACACTTTAAATAAGACCTCTAAAGACTTACTTCAAACGTTATTCTATTGCTTGTAACTACCTTCAAATGTATACGAATTTTCGTAAGAATACTGTAAGTGACTAAAAAGTTATGATGAAATGTAGCTATCCACGTTCACGATCACAATGTGTGCGGCCTTTTTTGGCCACTGATAAACCTGTGTGTGGATATATAAACTGAATGTTATGCCAATAATTAGTTGTTTAGTTCAGTTGTCTACCTGTAGAATTTCAGCGTCGTACATATAATAATTTACGAGATAATTAAATAAAAGTCATTAGAAGGTGCAAGACCGTGGTAACCCGACCATGTTTAGGTGGTTACAAAAAAGCGATCACCCAGTACATTGCGCTGTCTTTTAAAATGTTTAGTGTAATACACCTTACGATTTCGGTACAGTTGCGTGCAGTGTTAAATACATTCAATATTTATTCATTACGATTACCTATTATTTATTTTGTTTTTTTTCCTAATTGATCTTAAGCACTAGTTTCTTTACTTAAAATTTCTTTAGTCTTTTTAACTACCGGAGCTACAATCAACAGAAAATCTGCACTGGTCCGCTAAAATTATAAATATGTAGATACATGTATGAACGATTCACCTGACTGCAATAAATCGAAAATTTAAACCAATAAGAAATCGTTTCATTTCTTTGATTTTTTTTGTAAAGAAATGACACTAAAGTAATTGTATTTTATTTTAAGGTGTATAGAGCTTAGACTTGAATGCATAAATATTTAAAGCAACAAGTCATCTACAATAAGTTAAAATAGACCGAATAGTAGAAAAAACAGTTGTAAATTAGAATGCATCAACATTGCATCGCCCAACAGTCGTATACCTCGTAAGAGTAGGTAATATTGTTCTGTGGTCTATACCGAGAACCGAGAATTAGGTATCTATACCTATGTACCTACCGCTAAGCGTTGAGCCCGTGACAGTTGATTTCTGTTAAAAACGAACAGTTGTTGAATGATATTTTGATATAATAACGGTAATTTAATTTATCGAGTGAGTGATACATTTTTATAGATAAAATTATTGGTCAGATAATATTTGTCAATCAAGAATCGCCGATAATACATCCTTCGCTAGAACGCGGGAGGGGAGGGGCGAAGGGATATTTCATTGTTTGCAATATGCATCTAGTGCACTAAACTTGACCCTTAGGCAGATAATATACGTCTTGTAAAGTGCGTGTGCGCTTCCGCTTTCTATTTTTGCAAATATTTATCGTATTCTTGAGAGTTCTTCAATATGTGTGTACCTAATTACTAATAATGGGCATTAATGCTAATTCGATTCAATTTAAGTAATTGTCAATTCTTGTCTTAGGATATTAATTACTAATGCTTATATTGAAATTTCGTTCAGGGTGAACAAATTAAAAACGATCATAACTTGTAGGTAGGTATATCACTTATTACTAATTTTACATAAATAATTTATTTTATTATAATTTAACTCACCGCGATTTTGTGATCAAATATTTTATTTTCTCCAACATTATTACAGAAATAATGCAATACAGAGTTTGTTCGCGATATGCTAGCCTAAGTCGATTCATCACTTAAAAAAATCCCCATCTATTCACAAAATACCTATTTACAACGCATACGTTACACTCTTCAAAACTTAAATTTAATTAAATTTAAAAAGTTTAATTTTAGGGTAGGTATAGGTAATACCTACCCTAAAATTAAACTTCAATTAACAAATACTACACAGGTACCAATTCTATGAACAACTATAAACAATTCACCTTAAAATTACAAGAAAACAAAAGCATTCAAAACAATACCTAATCTCCCGGCTGATTACTAATTATGCAATAAACAATCGTAAATAAAAATTATTTAAAAACATGTAGTTTTTTGTAACACTTATGTACATATCCGTAGTAAACTTGCAAATAATATCCTACATATTTTAAAAGCCAGCACAATGTACTGGGTGATCGCTTTTTTGTAACCACCTTTTTTTGTAAACATGGTCGGGTTACCACGGTCTTGCACCTTCTAATGACTTTTATTTAATTATCTCGTAAATTATTATATGTACGACGCTGAAATTCTACAGGTAGACAACTGAACTAAACAACTAATTATTGGCATAACATTCAGTTTATATATCCACACACAGGTTTATCGGTGGCCAAAAAAAGCCGCACTCATTGTGATCGTGATCGTGGATAGCTACATTTCATCATAACTTTTTAGTCACTTACTGTATTCTTACGAAAATTCGTATACATTTGAAGGTAGTTACAAGCAATAGAATAACGTTTGAAGTAAGTCTTTAGAGGTCTTATTTAAAGTGTTAGGACGTATTGAAGTGTTTTCGTACTTACCTAAATAATTTTTAAACGGTCCATTATTTTTGTTATTTTATTGTCGAACAAATTAAAACTAATCCTTAAGAAGTTATGTACAAAAGATGGTTACAATCCGCTTACCCGTTTCAGAGATCCAGCAAACCCACAAACGTTACTCCAGCAGGATTTCGAATAACTTCGCAGCCGAAAAAAATACAAATACCAAATAAGTTGTAACATTTACCTAGTCCAGACAACTAATTATTTAGCTAAAATTTATTTCAATATTACAATTAAAAAAGAAAATGTCTGGCTGCGGTAACGTTTCAAACGTTACCCCAGCAGGAAATGTTTTTTTTGAAATAACTAAAAAAGTTTAAGTGAAACAAATTTAAAAATGTGCCTAACAATTACAGAAGGGGAGCAACTAATTATCTATAACGTTTAAATGACCATTTTCGACATTATTTTGCTGGGGTAACGCACACCCTACTGCTTAGTGCTTATAAGTGCAGTTTATAAGGTTTATACATACCTTGTAAGCATCTACAACGTCTTACCAGTTATCATTTAGTGATAATTTACCATGATTGGACCACTGTTTCATATGCAGTCTTATTGCAGGAGATTCTAAAGGAAATGCGTGATAATATAAAACCAATTCCAATAATTAGTACATTAAGTCAACTATTCACATGTAAAATTTCTTTTGTTTACACTCAATAATTAACGAAATACAATTAAAATACTGACAATCACCGCAATTGGCACATAACCCGACTGAGTTCGGATGGCTACGAAAACGGCCGTGCAGTACATTTAGGTAACATTCTAAAATTTACAGTATGGTATATAGTAATTTTGTACCGTTGCGTACACAACGGATAGGTTTAAATTGGTTTAAGTTTTTTTTCATTAATCTATGACTACTAGGCATAGATCTATAGGTAAAAATATAGGAAATGTGAGAATCTAGAAAAACACGTCTAAGCAGAAAACGCATAAAATCTACTTTATTCACCCGGCTCCTTCTAGCTATAAAGTCCGACTTGTAAAATATCTGAAAAGATTTACTTACAGAAATAAATATCATTTCATTTCATCATTTCATTTCAGGTGAACATAGTGGAATAAACCATTTATTCCTAAAGCTCTACAAAATTTCAGTATCTTACTTCAAGGCTTTAATTATTTATATAACGAATATTCTGTTGCCGACAACGAACTTATTTTGAAATCCAAATATGCTGTTAGCAAGAGTTAGCGATTACTTAAGGTACATTTATAGAACATAGGGCTCTAATTATCCCTATCATTCAAACGCTTAAAGGAGACATTTTGCTGGCGTAACGCTCCCGCGGTCACCTCGTCGCACCCTACTGAGCCGAGTACCCAACATGGTTAAAATTTAAATGATAAAACAACTATGCTTATAGTTTATTAAGGATATTTTCTATCAATAACTGAAATAGCAAGCAAACTTAAAATCAAACGATGTACGATTACTTTTCCTCTTCTTTTTCCTTGTCTTTCTTAGGTTTGACACTGCGTTCTCTGTCTCGGGATCGTTCTCTTTCCCGTGAACGTTCCCGCTCCCGGGATCGTTCCCGGAGCCGGGGCGAACGAGACCGGGATTTGTGACGTCGCGATCTCGAGCGTGATCTATCTCGCCTGTACGATCTAGAAATAAACATACTGTAATTGCAATTAACTGCCACATTAATAATTTTGGAATAATAAGGGGCTATCCATATATTACGTGTGGCGTATTTTATGGATGGTCCCAAGTTATTATTTCTCTTAGTACGTAATTATCACTTGAAACTCTATTCGGTTTTGTTAGACTGTTAGTTCGATTATTTTAAACAGAACTGGCAAAAAACCGTTCTGTTAGATTTATTTTTTTGCTAGACCGTTAGTTCCAAACTGATGACGCCATTTCCGAGCATAAACTGACATTACTGGATTTATCGGTATACCCACTGTACCATATAGGTTGAACGTGAAAGTAATAGGGTAGCACAAAATTGTAAGAGGATTTATTTTTGTTTTTTTTGGACCAATATAACAAAATGTATGTTTTTCTCCGTTCTCCGTTTTTCCGGATTGTTAGATCCATCTAACAGAATGAATGTAACGGATGTTTTTATTCTGTACTTTTAAAGTAATCGAACTAACAGTAACAAATCGGACTGGAAGGTTAAAACTAACTTCTTGCCCGAGGCCTCGCTCACGCGAATGTAATTTGTCAATGAACGCAAATATCGCTTGCGAAGCGTTTTTATCTTCTTTTACACACTATGTCCTTGTCTGTACTCAGGATACAAGATATTTTATTTGCATAAACATGTGTACATTGAAAATGTTAATATTATGTACTACTGAGGTGTCTACAAAATTTCCTTATGATGATAAGTAGACAAGACGTGAAAGTTAAGAAACTGAACAAAAACAAACTCACTTTATTAAGAAGGAGGATTCGGAAAATTAAGGGAAAGGGTTTTTTTGGAGACAAAGTGGCCATAGACATAGACAATCCAAGCACAACATACTCACACAACAGACATTGTAATGCAAAGTGTAGGGAATAACAATGTGTCTGTACACATTGTTATGCCCTAGTCCTTGACTATTAGTAGTAATATCGGTTTATTAAAGACATCTTTTACGGTTGCTAAAATGGTGTTTGTAGCACTGTATTGTATCGACAAAGTACTCACTTCTCCCTAATACGATCTGGTTTCATGGATCGCGAGCGGTCTCTTTCTCTATCCCTTTCTCTATCCTCCTGAAAAAAAAAGACAGTGTATATATATTTTATAAATGTTTTACAATCTAACTGCTATGTAGGTTCTGTTTATGTATGTACATAGTAAACGTAGTATTGACTGATGTAAACTCCATAAATCTGTTCCTCTAGTGAACATCTCCATGAAATATTACTTACGTCTTCACGTCTATCACGGTGGCCCCTTTCCCTTTCTTCCCTCTCCCTCATCCTGTCTCTGTCCCTCTCGCGCTCCCGATCCCTGTCGCGGTCCCTATCGCGTTCTCTGTCGTGCATGTGTGGCGGCGGGTGCTGGCGGTAAGGTGGCGCGAAGGGCGGCGCTTGCAACATGTGAGGGGGCCCGCTCATGTGCGGCGGGCCCAGAGGCTGCCCCATCATGGGCGGGCCCAGGGCGGGAGGACCCATGGGCCCAGGTGTTAGCTCCTTTATCTCGCTTGGAGCCCAACCTGTCTGTTCAGGGTGACCTAGTACAATTACAGAACCACATTAGATTATTAAAGCACTGACTATTATAATGATGTGATAGCCCGGAGCGGTCGGATCGGAATCTAAAACGCCCGCACCGTTTTTTATATAAATTAGAAATTAACTAACTTTTAAACTATCGCACCCAATAATGAATGTTCAATAATAATGATATTAAGTACATATCAGGCTGGCTCAGCCTGTGACCACGGGTTGTGCAACTTGGTCGAAACTTCAGGCAATACAAAGGCACTTCATACCTAATATATTTTCATTGGCTGTCTTTTACACATAAACCCACTACCACTAGTTTAGTTTTTATAACACCTCTTCCCTAATGGACCGCTAAGCTACATAAAGGCGTATTAAATACCAAGTCACATCACTTAAATCGTCTATAAGCGTGTCCAGCGGTGTGCACAACACAAACTTTAACAGTCTGTTAGTAATTTAATAACAAATATAATTTCATTTTCCTTAGAGCAGACTACAAGCAGCTTCGTTAGAAATTAATCATTCAACCTACCTGAGATTGATTGAAAACGGTGCCATTTAAGTTCGGTTCGACTCCGGCGGTATTTTTTTAGCATGAAAATTATTTGCATTCAACATAGAAATCAAAGTTTGAAAATCGCAATGTAATAAATAAGCTAATACTTACTAGGTATAAACTCGACAGGTCTCGCTGCATGTACCCAAAGTTTTAAGTTTAAGTGTGTAGATAGATTGAAAAATATTGGTGCTAATCCTATTGTTTGAAAACTCTCTAAATTAAACTAAAAATCGCTAAAATTTCCTAGTCCTATCGAATGACATTTCGTACGTACGTACTCTGAGGATTGAACTATATTTAGTTTGACACAACCAAAATTAGTTAAGCTACTCAACTTGCTCTATTATTGTTCAATTGTTTGTTATTACGTTGTACGTTCTAAACGTCAAAGATTGACGAAAATTCTTCCTCGGTAAAAGGGTATCCATCACTAAAAGATTTTCAATTCAAGCTAGTAGTTCTTGAGATTAGCGCGAATTTACAAACTCACAAACTTTACATCTTTATAATATTAGTGTAGATTGTATTATCATGTCAGTCTTATAACTTATGCTACTTACTGGATTCTTAAAACGTACATATGTATAGTCAAGTATAATATTATAAGTCAAGTAAGTGTTGTCAAGTAGAACTAAATTTGGTGTTCATTAAGAAAGCATTAAATTTGTATCTGAGATCACTACAACTTAAAAAGGAAAGTGTTACCGTTGTTTAAATCTAAGAATGAATGTGTGAATAAAGAGTGAATGAAATAAAACTCTTTTTAAATTATAGTATTAGGATTTTAAAATTCCTGTAAATGATTATTAATGCTTAATTGCTCAGTTACATAAGCTGGAGCATAAATAATTAAATTAACTAGCAAAAGTCGGTGCTTTAAGTGAGCTCGCAAAGAATTCTCCCTAGTAATAATTTTCGAAACGGTTTTTAAAGTGAATTATCTTTTAATATGTGAATTATTAATATGGGCTTCGTTAATTAATTAATTTTAACTAAACACTACATCGATATTAGTTCCAGTCCAATTGAAGAAATATTAATATGTATGGTTTTATAATTTTCGACAGAAGCCGCCCGTTATACGCACAATAAATTTCTAATTAATAAAAATTGTTACATCTTCTATTTATTATATTACATTAGACTGACATTTCAAATTTTAGTCAATATTTGATTTTGATTCGATTTAAACGTACAACAGAATAACAAATGAACAATTATAGTTGTGTCAAACTAAATATAGTTAAGCCCTACGTTTTCACTTCACCATACGAAACGTTGTTTGACAGAACTAAACAAATTTTTAGTGATGTTTGGTTTAGAAAATTTTCGAACAACAGAATTAGCACCATAGTCTCCTCCATGTTAATTTTAATGTTTTTAATGTTTTTATTGTTTTCATCATCATCATCAACAGCCTTTAATAGTCCACTGCTGGACATAAGCCTCTCCTTAGAAAGGAGGTTTTGGCCTATTACACCACGCTGGCCAGACAGGTTGGTATAAGGTTTCTGTCAAGTTTTCCTTCTCTATGCAGTGCTGTTGTTCTGCGTAGTTTTCTCCCTTAGTCGGATTTTACGACACCCACGGGATGAATAGGGGTGGTGACACTCTGTATTCTTAATCCGTCACCACACGTTATTGTTTTAATATCTTCAAATGAGCATGTTGCTACTGATGTTTTAGTATTAGTTTACATATAAAATAATTAAATTGACAAACACTTACAAGCTTTAATCAAATAATCTTTGGAATGATGTATTCGTACTTTTTTTTATGGTTCATTACAGTAAAATCAATTATTCATATTAAATAGCTCTTGGCAGAATACTTAAAATTTACGATATGGTAATATCATAATATGTGGTTTACTTTTTATTCCTTCTATATATTTAGGTTGAATAAGTGTTGTAATTTTACCCTTTTTCCATTGGTTCCACATACCACGAATACCCATAATATGCCAAAATAATATGAGAATGAGCTGCATAAATAAAAATGTAAATTACTATGTTGGCAAAGTCTAGCTTTAAAAGCATCGACGTATCCATGTAGCGTCAATATAATTATGTCAAGCCCACGTAAAGTTAAAGAGCACATTTAAAGTATATCGTAAGTTTTTTTTTACCCCAAGGTTCTTCGTAAGGTGCATGTGGTGGTGGTTGATAGTAGTGTTCGTTTGGCGGCGGTCCGAAGTACTCTGGCGCTCCCATGTCTCGCTGGTGACCACTTCGGCCGTACTCTCTCCGTTCAGCTGTCATCACCTAGTACAACAAAGCGATAACATAGACAGATAAGTTCAAATTCCGTAATGCTCTTCACATGGTGATAATTGAAAGTACATAATTTTAGGTGGGGTTTTTTAAGTTGATAATAAACTAAGTAAATATAAGAATGCTAATTGTTTGTGTCTCTTTCTAATGAACATTTAAAACTTTTAAAGTACAAAATGTGATACTTTTTAGGGTGCATTAAAATTGTTACTGAAATTAACCATTTGCTTACAAAATGAGGTTGTAATTTATTGTAAAGCATTAAAAGCTCAATAGTTAACTCTAAAAATAATACAAATAAACTAAACTCTTTAAAAATAAAAGGAAGGGCCTGCAAATGTCAAAAGATGGCTTAATTTAACAGATTTATAATATAGGTAGTGCAACAAAGATAATTATTTCATACCTGTATGGTGTTTTCTCTAGCTTGATAATTGTTTGACATTGGTGGTGGCATTTCATCCATTCGGCCTGGACCTGAAATTGTTTTTTTTTTACATTTATGACACTTGATACTGCGGAACATTCATTTAAGGGGGTCTGGTCTTTTTACTTTATTTAAAAAAGACCGCACCGCATTAGGAATATATCCTGTGTCGCGGGGGACTTTACAAACATACATTAAACGGAGACAGAACACCCAGACTCAGAATTGTGAATCACACAATCGTCCCAAGTGGGGATCGGACCCATAAATGTCAAATAAAGTAACGTGTTAAATAAAGTACTATATCACATGTGGTTATTTGACTCCCATGAGACAATGAATACTGTCGTTACGATCGGGGTATATAATAAATAAAAGTCCCCGCTCCGTTATTCCCCTATATCCCCCGTCATGATAGTGTCGTTAAAAATATTCTACTCCAGGGGGTACCAGCTGCGTTATCGTTGGAGAATCCCCTCTGGACGTCCACGCTCAGAACCGTCCGTAATGGCGAATCCGTATGGGCGTGGATGTCTGGGCTGCCCAGCGTAGTTGGCGCTCCACTACTAAGCGCTTTTCGATACCCTTTTTGCCCCACACAACCAATCTGTGGAACGGGTTATCGTCTGCGGTATTCTTGGACCGATACGACCTTCAAGAAAAGAGCGTACTCCTTCCTAAAAGGCCGGCTACGCGTTTGTGACTCCTGAGTTGCAGACGATCATGGGCGGCGATGATCACTATCTATCAGATGACCCCTCTGCTCGTCTGTACCCTCTAACGTAAAAAAAGAAAAAACAAAGTAGTCATACCAAGTGGTCGCCTCATGTCTGGCGGAGGCGGTCGCGGCGCCACACCGACGTGCAGACCAACGCCAGCTTCGTTGACTCGCATACGACGCTGACGCTCGCAGTAAGCACTCCACGTTACTTCATTAAATCCATAATTAAAATAATCTGGAACAAAAATATCTTAGTCTTAGTAGATTCTAGCATTATTTCTAAAAACAATGGAGACAAGGAAACATTTTAGCTGTTGTAAATTCAAATTATAGCTGGCACACTACCTCAGTAAACCGACTAGACAGATTACAACAAGTTTGTTGGGGAGACACTTTGGTTACACACTTTCAGAAGCTGAATCTGTAGCCAAACAATCATCATACATTTTGACCACCACAACAACAACCAAAAAATGTAAGTAGTCATACCTGATATATCAGCACCAGGTTTGTTCCAGGGCTTATCTTCAATTGTGTCAATATTGAACTCCAATGCAGGAACACCATTAATACTGCCAGGTCCTTCTAAATCTTCTTGTGTCACTTTACCTCCAGTAATTGCAGTCGCTCGAGGTTTGTCTGCGGCCCCTGTGGCTACTAAACCGACACCACGCTGGAAAAATAGTATACCTCACTATATACTGATTGATGAACAAATGAGAATGGAATCATAGAAACCGCTTCATTGACTAATTTAACATAATACATTGACATACATCTTAAAATTCTTTCTTCCTACAAGGCCTTTTTCCCAAACTAGGTTTAATGTCGGCTTTCTAGTCTACTACAATAACAATTGCCACAGATGTTCATATGACAAGATTGGTAAGCTTTGTAATGTGTTAACCAAATCAGTTATCACTAAGCCACGAGCCACTCGGCATCTAAAATTATCATACTTATTAACAATAGACATGCATTATTATGCGTGTTTTGATATATTTAAGTCCAAAAGTCAATCTCTAGGGATTGACTGTAACTGATGAATCAAGTTATCTATACAAATTACTCTGACTGACTGATTCATCAATACAGAGACTAAATTGTTGGGCCTACAAACTTGAAACTTTTTCTGTCGTAATCACCCACTAAGAAAGGATTTATGCAAATTTAACACCCAAGGGGGTAATATAAGAGATGAATGATTGTATAATATTGTCATTAGCAAAGTTAGAAACACAAAATAAGAAATGTTTAGGAGAGTCTTGTCTGTTTAAGCCATGGGCAATAGCTAGTTTTTTAAAATATTCCATTTTCAAAATAAATGGAAGTATTCAATGAAAGAAACCATTGTTATTTAGGCATTATTTTATAACATTTAGTAATATAATGCAAATGATGTAATATTGAATTCTAACAAGAATAAAGATTTAATCAAAAAGAAAAAAAAAATGGTAGTTAAGATCTTATTAGTTCATCATTCATGGTTAAAACCAGTTGCTCAGGTATTGTGAACCATATTCATCTCAGGAAACCAATATTTTATTTTAATAAACTGCCTCAGAGGTGCAGTTGTAGTGTATGCAACTGTTGTTCTGAGGTCTCGGGTTTGATTCCTGAGTCGGACCAAATGTTTGTATGATCTGCAAATATTTGTTTTGGATATGTATGGATATGTACAAAAAAAGTATATAAGTATTCTATAAGTCGATCTAATTTACATAGTACAAGCTCTGCTTAGTTTTGAACTAGATGGCGTTGTGTCAGATCTCCGAAATATTATTATTATTGATATAATTTCTCTATACTTACTTTGATATTAAGACTGCCATAAGCCTGTGGACCTGATTTGATCTCTCCAATAGTAACTTTAATATCATCACTGTCATCAGAATCAGAATCCCCATTGTTTTGACTATCCGCATCACCATTCTGATCCTCGCCATCTCGTCCTACATCCGCAAAGTGTTCATCACTGAAGTGCGAGTCATCATTGGTGGCTTCATTTTCTTCAACCTCTTTTTCTTCGCCTTCCTGGAAAAAGTTTTCAAATGATATGAAAGATTGATAAATGCTCGAAGTCAAGCAGCAATTTAATATTCCAAGCCCTTATTTAGTTATTAGAAGGATAGCAATTAAATCTAATTGTACTTAAATCACTTTCATTTACAAAAAGAAATATAGGTTACTCACAGCAGCGCCTTGAGCTGCATCAGTCTGTTCTTGTCCTTTTTCACCTTCTTCTGCCGATTTATCTCCCACTTGGTCACCAGTTGATTCACCATACAACCAGCTGTCATCATTTTCGTCTCCAGGTGCTGTTTCAACTACAGTATCTCCCATTTTTATATTTTTTTTTAATGACTTCGCTTGATATGCTGACGCTTATATTGCTTTGACATTCTTAAAATTTTCTTTTCAGTATGCTGTATGACATGTGTAAATCAGTGTTGCCATTTTTTAAACCACGATCTCTATAATCATGTATCAAATTAATGCTTCAAAACGTTTATTAAAATACTTTTTTCTTCACCTATTCATTTTAAGCTTACAGGAGTATGAAGAAAAAATCCTTAAAAATGAATCAATTGTCAAGACATACTTTTCCCTCACGCTCCCTTTTAAGACGATAGGACACATTCTAAAGAGTCTTATCGTATGGTTTTTATTGATTTTTTTTTTAATTTGTTGTGCCTAATGGTAAAAATGCAGAGGATAATCATAGTAATTACAAATATCTTATTAATTGCTTTAAATTGAATATTTCCAATTTTTCTTCAAATATAAAACTTTTAAGGTGTTTTAAGGTGTATGCCTTCTAAACGAAGAAGTCTAAAATCGCACAATTGTTAATATTTACTACGGACTTCGTCTTGAGTCATACCGATTCTCCTCTTAATCTCTAAGAGACAACATCATTGCAGGGATCGGAGATTTATGCAGTGATCCTCCGTCAAGTTACGTGGCATAATGTGATGCCATGAACATGACCGAAAGACTCCCTTTCTCAAGACTAATTTAAATAAGTTCCAAAAATTATTATGTAAGCATGGCGTAGGACCATATTATAAAAAAATTCGGGATTTTCGGGCAAATTTGTAAGTACCAAAATTTATCATAATTTTCAACCTTTTTTATTTTTTGGAATTATTACTTTATTTGTGTTGTAAGACGTTTCTTTTTGCCAAGTTTCGTGATTCTATGTCAACGGGAACTACCATATAGGTTTTCGACCAAAAACCTATAGGGGACTTCCGGTTGACCTAGAATTGTCAATTTTGGTTAAAAGCAAGGGTTACAGCACAAGTAAAGAGAAAATTCTGAAAAATAAAAGAAATTGAAAATGAAGGTAAATTTTGGTACCTACAAGTTTTTGCGAAAATCAAAATTTGCCCTTATCTTTTTATCGTGTTGACTCAGGACCTTGATTTTTATACACCTAATAGAGACCATAGACCTCAGTATCTGGTAAATTTTTTGCTAGGTCTACCCGCTCCTGAAAAAAACCGGTGGTGAAAACGGTAGTTTCCCCCATAGTAGGAGGCACTCGCATCGACATCGAGCCCTCGATGAGATATCTGGGGCTCGTTCAGGTTCGGGATCCATGCTCTAGAAAAACTGACTGGAAATCCCAAATCCGCCGGGTCCTCGTGGCGGAGTGGAAGGAAGGATTTGGGCAACGTCATTTTAACAGCGGTAAGACACATTGTGGAAGATTGGCTCGAGAGAAAATACAGGATCCTCTCATATCGGCTGACGCTACAATGCAAGAGGAGCAGAGGTGTGGCCTCGTGATGGAAATCGGAGTGAGTATTCTCTCGCTCGACCATGATTGCCGCCATAGTACGGAGCGAGAGCGCGTGGAACTCAGCCACCTCCTTCTGCGAGCAAGTTAGACTCGAGAAGAGGGCGGAGCGGGACCTGAAGTGGCTTAGAACTCTCCTCAGTCACCAAAGGAATGGTTCAGATGTCTTAATAAAAGCTGTTGTCGGATTCCTTCTATTTCCGGCGCAATTTACACTTTAGTCAGTTCGATTTCGATACACTGCCCCACCACAAACCCCGGTGGTGGTGACAGCCCATTAAACCACCCAGACACGTTAAAAAAGAAAGTTGTAGTAAAGAAATGCCAACTATTTGGAGTTATCACTATTACACATTTAGTAACGTCAACTAGTAAATAAAATAAATATGGTATGGGCTATCGAGACATGCCGGCGGCGCCGATATGATCTTTGCCTAGGGCGCTCTAAATACTTGATCCGCCTCTGGTCTAGAATATAGTTAAACCGAGTTTAATCGGTTTGACAATTCGTGGAACCACAAACCGAACCGTTGAAATTGCAATAACCCGCGGTTTGAACTGTATGATGAGTTGACTAGCGAATGTAACATACGAAAGTGATGTGCAACATGATTGGATAGGATCGATTAAACCATCGTTTTACGGTTTGTCAAGATACAAGCGTTAAACTTGACCTACCTACCTAGTATGAATTGATGGTAGCTAAGGGCAATACAACAAACTATTCAGTCAAGTAACACGATTACCAAGCCTTATTTTTTTCTCACAAGATATACAAATGCAACATTGATGTTAGATTATGTATGTTATATTATTATAATTATTATTATTTCATCATAAGAATTATTGATTAATTAAGATAATAATATTCGCAAATTAAAATATTAGGTCCTTACATATGAAATTGGCGTTTTGTACGGTTGTAATATAAAGTCAATTTTTTTTTGTAAAATATATTTAATTAATCAAAGTATGCACCGTTGTCCTATCTATGCACTTTTGCCAACTCATAGGTAGTTCATTGATCCCTTTACTAAAAAAAACATGGGGGCGAGAATCAATAAACTCGTTTGGACTGCCGCATCGGAAAACTGCCGAATTTTTTTCCTTGAAAGAAGTTGTCCAAATTCCGGAAAAAAATGTAATCTGTTCAGGGGAGGGGTCCAGAAGGCGATAACTACCTGGACCCCTCCTAAACTGGAAGCGCAAAGAGGGCACACCGTGTGGTTTTAGTCGGTTCGAATCGGACACACCGCCCCGCCGAACGAGAGCCCCGGCGGGGTGACGGTCCGGAGGGAGGTCGTCCTCCCGGGCCAAAAAAAAAAAAAGACATTCCAATTGTAGCTTATCTAACTTAGTGGTTGTTTGTTGTACAGTGTGTGGTCTTGGGTTGTCCTGAAGCAGCAGTGGCCAATCGCGGTTGTTTAGCAGCTAGTTCTTCCTTCATGGTTTGCTGTTGCTGACAATAGATATCTGCCGTAATCGATTGGCCAGATTTTAGAAAGCTGTAGTGAACGACAGCGGCGCCAGTCCACCAAACACTCATAAGTAACTTTTTCTGAGTCAATTTTCGTTTAGGGCAATATTTAGGTGGGTCTCCAGGGTATAGCCATTGCGACGAGCGCTTCCGATTATCGTACAGTATCCATTTTTCATCACAAGTAATGATTCGATTTAAAATCCCTTCATTATTGTGTCAGTTGAGCAAAGTAACACAGCAGTGTTTGCAAGTTCGATTCACGCAATTCATGAGGTACCCATCGTTCAAGTTTTTTTACTTTCCCGATTTGCTTTAAGTGGATTAATACAGTTTTATCACTTACCCCGAAGCCTGCAGCTATCTCTGAAATGCTTTATGATAGATCCACTTCCACAATAGCCTTTAATTCTTCATTTTCCATTTTGGTCTCCGGCCGTCCACGGGGTTGGTTCTGAAGGTCGAAATTTCCAGAACGAAAACGTTGAAACCAAAAACGTACCGTGCTTTCTTTTGCGACACCAGCGGTTTTGGTACTCACCAGACCTCGCACCTACCGACTATTACTTTTTCCAAAATTTAGACAACTTTTTAGTGGGTAAAAATTTCAATTCCTGAGAGTCAGTATAAAATGCCTTTGAAGAGTTTGTTGCCTCCCGTCCAGCTGATTTTTACAAGAAGGGCATCAATAAACTGCCAATGCGTTGGCAAAGATGCGTCGAGAGCATGGGTGATTACTTCGAATAACAAAAATAAAAAAGTTTGAAAAAATGAGTACTTTCACTTATTGCATACAAAACGGCAATTTCATAGGTAAAGACCTATTATATTATTTAGTAGTCATTTAAAAAAAATTGTAGCCGCGATCCTCGATTTTGTAGTATGATACTTTTCAAGTTATATGAACATAAAGGTGGCTCCTCAATCTAAATGTTTGGATTAAGGAGCCACGTCGGAACTAGGAACATAGCGGATGTATATTTGTGATAATTTAGTATGATTTTGTAGTATTTGACATTAGTTAGTAGACAAAATCTGAGCTGGGTAATGTTAAAATTAAAAAGTTACCATACATTCTAAATGTGGCTCCTCAGACCATACAAACGACTGTAATTTTTTAAAAGAAGCAGTTTTTCAATTGATGCGCAATTTCTTCATCATTTAGTAGTAAGTATGTTAAATTTGTAGTGTAAAAATCAGTAATTAAAAATGAGTGAATTAGGAGATATGGCACATTTTAACTGGCTCCTCAGTTAAGATGCTTATACTTATTATGACTTATAGAATGATCTACTTGTGAGGAAATTTGGAACATACTACATCAATATTTAGTATAAATTTATAATAAATGTTCGTATAATCCTGTCATAAAAAAGTACAGTTTCTACGAAGTTATTAGCTATTCTTTAATTACCTAACAAATTTTTTTGTAGGGTGTGAATGAATATTTATACAATATGAATATTTTTTAGGGACTTGTCGGAATCAACACTTTTATTTTTAATATTTTTTTCACTAATAATTCGACAACACCCAAAAATGCTATTTTGTACAGTCAGATAATAAACATGGTTTTCTATCTTTACATAGTATAAAATGAAGTCACTTTTTTTCTTGTACGTTTAGATCTTTCAAACTACGCAAAAAAAATTGATTCGGTTTTCACCTATAGAGAGAGTGATTCAAGAGGCGGGTTTATATGAATACAACAGAAGAGAAAATCCGAGAATTCGTGAAAAACATGTTTTTGTGCGCTTACATTGCATACGCTGGCTAAACCTTAAGAGGTAGATCAAAATAAAGTACTATGGAATTGTATATCTTAAATAGATCTACAAAAAAGGTCAAGATGTTATATGTCTATCTCCTAAGGATGGTTATCCTTAGGAGATAGACATATAACATCTTGACAGTTTAACATCTTTCACAGTAACCATTTTTATCTTTTACATATTACAAAAAACATTGGGTAATTTACTCATTTATTTTGAACAATAGAGTATTATACCTTATCTAAATCAACACGTTAGGTATGTTGTGTATTAAACATAAATTAAAATTTACAGCATATCAATAAAATGAATATCTATTCTCATTTTTTTTAGGGTTCCTAGGTACCTCAAAAAGTTAAAAACCCTTATAAGATGTACTCTCTTGTCCGTCTGTCTGAACGGGTGGACCTAGCAAATTGAAATTTATACCAAATACTAAGGTCTATAGTCATTATAAGATGTATAAAAATCAAGGTCCTGAGTCAACACGATTAAAAGATATGGACAAATTTTCGTTTTTCGTGAAATATAAGGACAAAAATTTTTCGGTTTTCGTGAAATCTAAGTACAAAAATTTATCTAAATTTTTAACTTTTTATAAATTTAGGAATCAGTAATAAAATATTGTTTTAGTGCAATTTTCAGTAAAAAGTGTACTAATAATTCATGCCTATTTAGCCCAATATCTAGACAGATCGCATTTTTACCTTTAAACCTGAATATAATTTCTGTTTTCGGGATTCAAAGTTTAGAAGATGCAATTTGTATTGCAGAAGAAAAAAATGTTTGTACATTTTGTGACCTCCAAACAGTGTGCAAATATACGCTACCAAATACAATTTAATTTGAAATAAATCTTTGTACGAAGTTTCGAGTAAGCGAGATACCAGAATCTATAATTATTTCAGGTAGATCATACATATTACTATTAATATGTATGATCTACCTGAAATCATTATATTCTGTAACACCTATGTGTTACAGAATATATCCTGCAATTGGCGACGCTGGCATGGGACACTTAAAGTGTCACTACCCAACGAAGGATGAGATGTTTTGCTATGACGACTATGATTCTGACTGTAAAATTCGTCAAAGCACGGAACAACCAATATTAATTCATTGTATCACTTATGTCCAACCTGATTAATTGTATTTCGATATTGTAGATTTGTTAAAAATTAAATTTTAAAAACTTGCCCTCCTGATTTCATTTAACATGGTCACCCTAAATGGCGAATTTATAAGGAACATCAAAAAGTAATTTATTTTTCAGATACCGAATATATACAACGTTGATCTGTACATATTTATTTAGTAGACATTTATACTAAATGTTAGTGTCTTTAGTTTTTATTTCTGTTGTGATATCAGGTAGGTACAATCCATTATTTATTATGCAGAACGTCAGGATTGAGGAGCCAAATAAAACGCGTATATTTAAAAAAATCACTTAGTTTTACTACTTTCTCCTGTTACTACAAATTCAAACCCACTTGCTACTAAATGTTTTTGGAATAGAATATAAATTTTTACTTAGTACTTTCATGGCAATTCACACTCATAAATATAGATTGAGGAGCCACATTAAAAGTGTTGTATATTTTTGAATATCAATAGTACTGGATTCAGATTTTTAGTAGGCACTATACACAATTACTATAAATGATACAAAATAAAAAAAAAAAATACATTAAATACTTTGTGTTCCAGGTGGCTCCTCAATACAAATGTTTAGATTGAGGAGCCACTTTTACATTGACGTAACTTTGGAAATATCTTACTACAAATTTCAGGATTTGTCCTACAAAATTATTTTCTCACCTACTAAATGAGGGGGGGGGGGGGAGTTTCCGTTGAAAATTCGTTTAAATTCTAAAATGGCTCCTCAATCTATACGAACACACAAATATTAACATGAAGAAAAGTTCCTTGAATGAGTTTGTATATAGTCTGTTTTTTAATCTCGTAGACTAAACTGACATTACGAGTGTTGTCAGTTTATTGCAATTCTTAAATAGTGATGTGGCACAACCGAAACTTAGCGTTAATAAAATCAAGTATCGTTTTTTTACAATAAGTTATCCTGAAATAATGTGTTTATCCTGAAATAATGTGTAGGTACTTATTTAAAACGTAATAATACAAAATTAATAATGTAAAACATATATTTTTAATTAAATAACTTAATTACAGGTATTCGCGTTAATCTGATTCAGATAATGACTCCATGTCTGAGGAATATTATGAGTCATCAGAATCGCCACCTACTTCTATGATAAACCTATCAGTAATGTCGTCGGTTATATGGCCCAGATGACACATTTGATCTTCAATTTTAATTACATGGACTACACAGTCTTTCCACCGCTGCGGGGTCACTTGACGAAGCCCTTCTTCAAAAAGGCTTCGTACTTCATTCATTTTGAATGTTTTATTATTTTTAGTGACATGCCCCTTTACTTGAGCCCAGACCAACTCAATCGTTCGAATTACGTATTCGTACAATTGTTCGTATGGTGTCAAGTTCCATAATTGCCGTATTTTTTAAGTTCTGCCGTTTCGTAAGAGAAAAGGGTTAAGATTGCCGTTTTAACGCGTACGGGAACAACACTGATGGCGTCTATAATTTTTTTTTGTTTAATCTAAAGGCATCGAAACATGGTCGGGTTACGCATGGCGTTGCGTGGTCAGATTTCCCTGGCAGTTTGTAGCACGTCGTGCAGCCGTGTGTACGTACGTGAATTTTAAATGTAAAACTTTGAATGAAAATTAAATTCGTCTATTATAAATAAAAAGTTACGATTCAACTAACCGGTATCGTAGGTACAACACTGCACAAAAGAGCTGGCAACATTATTTGTAAATTTGACATTTGCATGTGTCAATTTAGTCTACGAGATTAAAAAACAGACTACTATCCCCGCAAATTGCTAATGCGCCTGGCCGCCATTTTGGTGACGTATTTTGTTGACATTGACATTAGACACTCTGTACCGTTAGCATTATTCTGGCTGATGCGAATTGCGAGGGACGAGTACCTACGCATTTTTGTTTATTAAATTATTAAATTTATATTAAATTGAATTGATTTTTATTAAATTGAATCAAAATCTAACCTAATTATATTATTAATATAGTTATATTACTAATAAGTCTTTTCTAATAAACATTGAAAATCACACAAACATTTTTCATTTCTTAGATAGATACCTATTTCCAAGTTGTGAGATTAATTAAATGTCATCAAATATCAGTTTTTTCGTAAAATGTAATCTTACAATAAATGTCATTTCAAATCTGTCAAACTTAGTAATTAACCTATTAAATTTACAATTGCATTTCTTTTTTAGCAAGCTGTACTTTTCTATTTTGGATGACGTCACGTGGCTCTTAATGTGACAAAGTTCCTGCGCATTTTGCGAGTATTATATAGCGCGATGGAAGCGTTAATGTGAGCTGTGCCTCGCAAGCTGGCAACGGCGCGCTTAGGAGGAACGCCGTTAGTTACCCCCGCGCCCTGCGACGTACATCTCGCCCGCCAGGCGTACCCGCCGCGTCACTCTAGATAGTACATAGCTCCGCACAGCTTCGGTGGATATACCTTGGCTGGAAAACCTCTCTCCGTCTGCGCATCGGCCATCTCCGCTGTATAGGAGGCCGGGCCTGACAGTTTTGTAGCTCAAATGTGACTATTTGCGCGCGATTAGTAGCGGGAATTGTGGTGTCGTGTCCCAGTCAATTACAGAGGAATAACATCCTTGCAGGCACACTAATGTATATAGTACGTAATGAGAAAAGGGCAAAAGTAGACAAAACAAATGAAAAAAGCGTCTTTAATTATAAATTATAAATAAATTAGACAAACCAACATTTATTACAGATATTTCATAACGAGAATTTTCAAATGGCGAACATATTGAATAACTAGACCAGAATATATCTAGTCTAGTCCATTCCTTCTGCGAGGGAACATCTTTTGCTCAACTTGTTCTACTTTCTGAGCAACATCAGCTAACTGCTGAGATGCTTCATTGGCTGCTGCACCACAAGTCTCTGCCAATTCCTGTACACCATGCGTAACCTAAAAATTAATGTTATCATTAATTCTCTCAGATTTTTTATTCCGTGATTCTACACCATAATGTACACCTAAAGAGATGCCACACGAGCGTTACAGATGCGCTGCGTCGTTGTAACGAAATGATTTCAACGCACCGAGTGCCACACGAGTGCTACGACGCAACGTTGCTAATTGTTACCTTCAATATTCTAAAAATATATATCGTTATAAAACCGCGGTATCCCTACTCGCCTCTTCTCTCTTACTCCTTGTCATGTTTGAATGCACCGTGTGGCATGTCATTCAGATTTGTATGTAGAACACACCGCAACACATTTCTCATACACACGCATGGCACGAACGTATATAAAACTTACCTGTTCAGCTTCTACTTTTACTTCAGCAGCAGCAGCTTGCATATTGTTTACTACCTCTTGCATTTGAGGGGCGTGCTGAATAGGCTCTGATTCTAGCACAGCTGCTGCCTAAAATTTACAGAAAATAATTCTTTAAATCATAAAATCGTTATTCTTGGTTATGTTGTCGAGAAATACTTCAAAATTTAGACCCTTTATCTATGAATGGAAGTATATTAAACGATTCTTCTGAATCTATGCCACATTTGAAACAAATTTGAGATACATTACATTTACAACGACACAAATACACAAATAGCAGCAGAGAATTAGTGAAAAATGTTGCAAAAATGGGGAAATTTATTCTTTTTAAGAAACGCAGATGACGTTGCACAGGTCCACTAGTATTAATAATAATAATACCCACTTACTCTATAAGTCTGGTAGTGTCATGGATCCTAAAAATTTTAGACCTATTACATGTTTACCTACCATGTATAAACTTCTAACATCTATTCTGAGACTCAAAATTACTTTACATATTAATAATAATTCGATTATGTCAGTTTCTCAGAATGGATGTAGAAGTGGGACCCGTTGCACTAAAGACCTCCTTATCATAGACATGACCATTAGCCAACAGGTACGTCGTAATCATAAGAGTTTGGCGACGTGTTGGATAGATTATAAGAAGGTTTATGACTCGGTTCCACACACATGGCTTTTGAAACTGCTGGAGTTGTATAAAATTGATACAACTCTGTACACTTTCTTGAAGTCATGTATGGGGCAATGGAGAACAGCACTTCGCTATCCAGGATGTCGGCAGACGGCGATACACGATGTACTAATAAAGATCGAGCGGGGTATATTTCAAGTCTGAGTCCCTTGTGGTTTTGTCTGGCTTTGAACCCTCTTAGCACTTTATTAGAGGGTTCAGGGTTAGGCTTTAGGTTGCAAAAAGATGATCAAGTTATATCTCACCTTCTTTATATGGATGATTTGAAACTGTTAGCCTCCAACAAATTACAATTGACAAAGTTACTAAAGGTGACGGAAACTTTAGTAATTCTATCAAAAAGGAATTTGGTGTAGACAAGTGTGCAGTCATGTATGTAAAGAAGGGTGTGATAGTTGAATCTGAAGGAATAGAGCTTTCAGATTCAATAAAACTCAGATCTATGTCTGCCACTGAAACTTACACGTATCTGGGTATATCACAGTCGTTGGGAATACCAGAATCTAACATTGCAGGAACGCTTTTTTGGCCGCTTGAAAGAAGTACTTAAGTCTTTTATCAGGGGGCAACAAGGTGCGAGCCTGCAATGGTTGGGTCATGCCGGTTCTGATGTATTCCTTTGGTATACTTAGATGGACTCAGACCGAATTAGATGCCCTTGACAGGAAAGTCCGTACACTGCTGACTGCATCCCGAATGCACCACCCACGTTCATCGGTTATGAGATTGTATATCCCGCGAAAGCTTGGAGGTCGCGGACTATTAAATATCAAGACCCTACATAATCGCGAGATATGCAATCTCAGAGAATATTTTCTACATACTGATGTGAGAGTGCATCGCAATGTAGTTGCAGTGGATACCGGATTCACCCCGAGACCTGTAGTACTTAGTGGTAATGATCGCAGGGAAGTATGGAAGGGCAAAGAGCTCCATGGTCGGTTTTATCGGGCCGTAAACGGTTCCGATATAGATTTAAAAGCATCTATGACTTGGCTTCGGGGTATGGTGATCTCTTCGGAGAAACTGAAGTTATGGACGAAGTTATCATGACGAATAACTATCGGAAATGTATCCAGAAAGATGGTACGGTTGACATCTGTCGGGCATGCCACCGTCCTGGGGAATCAATCAGGCATATTATTTCTGGTTGTTCTCGTCTTGCTAACGGCGAATATTTGCACAGGCACAACCAAGTAGCCAGGATCGTACACCAACAGCTTGCCCTTAAATACCATCTTGTGAATCTAGTGGTGCCATACTACAGGTATGTGCCCGACCCAGTTCTCGAGAATGGTCGGGCCACGTTGTATTGGGATCGATCTATTATCACAGACAGGACTATTGTTGCCAATAAGCCTGATATTGTGCTGAGAGATCGATTAGAGCGCCGCGCAATGATTGTTAATATCGCCGTTCCTCATGACGAGAATCTCGTGAAAGTTGAAAAAGAAAAACAAATCAAATATTTGGATTTATCTCACGAGATTGTCGATATGTGGAATGTTGATTCAGTGATCATTGTTCCGATAGTCGTATCTGCTCACGGATTGATAGCCAAGAGCCTCGACCAACACCTTAAGAGGCTCACGTTGGACGGCTGGATCAAGGGTCTGATGCAGAAGGCAGTCCTTGACACGGCTCGTATAGTGAGGAGGTTCCTTGACACGGCTCGTATAATGAGGAGGTTCCTATCTTTGGAGTCCTAACCACCGGTGTCTTGGTCCCTGTATCCGATGTCGGTGGTCTACTATTTTTTTATAATTTTTTATAAAGTGTATGTTTAAAAATGTAAATAATATGTATATAAAATAAATAAAGAGAATAATAATAATATTTTCGGACATCTGATACAAAGCCATCTAGTTTCAAACTAAGTAGAGCTTGTACTATGAAGGCTAGATTAAATATAACCTGTCACATTGTTTTTTCCTATCCTATAAATAATTACATCATTCTTTTTACAAGAAAGTTTAGTGGAATCCGTAAAATTCGTAAGATGTCTGAAGGTAGCTTCGACAGACCACTATACCAGACTATCAACTGTTTGCCACTTTACACCCTCAGAAATAGTTTTCCCTTGCAAGTATTTGATACCAACTAGAAGGTCATCAAGTAGGATAGCTAGCAAGCCTCTCCTATGACGTCGAAGTTAGCACGAGGTAAGTAGCTGACATTAATTAACTTTGGATTGAATTGACGACTGGATGGCGTGGTGGTTTGTGTAACAGACTGCTATTCCAAAGGTCGCGGGTTCGATTCCCACTCCAGTCAAACATTTGTGTGCACGAACGTTTATTGTTTGATTTGGTTTGAGTGTTTCTATGTATAATATGTATGTATTTACAAAAAAAAAGTGTAATATGTGTATTTACATCTGTTGTCTAGTAGTCATAGTACAAGCTCTGCTTAGTTTAGGACTAGATGGCGTTGTTGCGAATGTGGTAAAAAAAAAAATAACAATAATTAAACAAGTTAAATATTGTATGTTAACAATGACAAGTTAATCATACCTGCTTGCAGCGATGCATACACTGACAGTGATGTTGTAAAGTGGGCTCAGCAGCAGCTACTTCTTGCATTCTCATCTGATTGTTCTGGAGCTGGAATTAATATGTATATTGACTGGAGTTCAGACTTTTTTATGACATTTTTCAGAGTTCTCTACTACAGGTCTAATTTTGACTTCTAGTTTTTAACATTAATTTATCAAAGTAAATAAAAGGTTACCATTTATTATGTGATAGGTTTTTGTCGATTTTCTGACTCGATTCGGCTAGACCCCCTGAATGTCTCACGCCGAATGAACCCGCCCTGAATGTCTCACGTAATTAATGGATGCCCCCTTAAAATAGATCTTTGAATAGCCATATCTTTTGATTGTGTTAGAAGCTAGATTTCTATAGCTCCTTATATAATATAGCAGTTTCTGAACTGACAGTTTCAGATGTTTCATTATAATTACAACATAATACCTCCATGCACTCCTTACAAAAACGATTCAACAGGCATGTAGATGGTTTAATGATGAAGTGAACCTATAAGGGTTTTTTTTTTAACAGAACACTAAACAATTCTTAGAGGAACCTTATCCTTTTTGTAACATCACATTTGGTGTAAGAAACAATGGGACCTTGAGGTGGTTACTCTCTCACTCTTTTACAGAAAAAAGCTTTATTAAATTGGTCCACGACAACATGATGACAAATATCAATGACACATAAAGCAACAAAACATAAAACCTCCTAGAATAATAAATAAAAAGGTACTTCTCTGATAAAATTGTTGAACTTAGTTGTAGCCAGGATTCTGATCCTGCCTACAATGAAGTTCCTAGATTTTTGTAAAATATTAGGTAATTTTAACTTACATTTTGAATGTAATTTGGGTCAGTGTAGTTATTTAATTCTGTGGCCATTTGCATCGCTCCTGCAAGTTTCTCATGTCCCGCTATTGCATTATTCATACCTTGAGCAGTATTTAAAAGATTTGCTGTTGCAGAATCACCTTGTTGTCCGTCTATAGGAGAATTAGCTGCGAGCCCAAGTTTGGCTTCAAGTTGCTCAATTCTACTTTGTAAAACGGCTATAGGATCAGCCATGTTCAAAAAATTGTCCCAGTTCTTCCAAATAAATAAATTAAAAAAATTTTACTACAAAACTTAAATAAATGAATATCGAGGTAATGGAACTAGAATATAATTTCAACTTGTTTGACATTTCAGTTTATTTTTTTCTTGACAGATTGGGTTGAGTGGACACCACTTAAATAGTATGGCTACGTTCGAGGATCTACTCTCCTCGAACGGTTCGAACGTATCCATACAATGCACACCATACCTACTCCCTACAGAGCCACACCTACTGTTTAAAGCATTCAAGTAAGCAGAAGAGAAGGGTCATCGATCATTTAATTCGACTCAAAAAAAAAGTTTTATGAAATTTATGTCTTTTTTTTATAAATCGCATGTTCATAAGAATATAAACATGTAACCGCGATTTATCTTATATATAAAATTCTCGTCTCACCATGTTGGTTACCATACTCCTCCGAAACGGCTGGACCGACTTTTATGAAATTTTGTGTGCACATCGGGTAGGTCTGGGGATCGGCCAAAATCTATTTTTCATATCCCTAAATGACAAGGGAGATGCACCCCTAATTTTCTTTTATATTTCCTAGATATGATGCAAATAATATATAGCAAAACAACGTTTGTCGGGTCAGTAAGTAAAAAATAAAAATTCTAGATCTATAGGTATTAATGTGAAAAAAACGACCATACGACTTACATAATACGACATAATATATTGAGACCATACGACTGAAGTAAAACTTCTTGGCTATGAGAGAAAGACACAAAGAAAATGTGTGCTTGCACCTCTCTCCCTTGTCCCTACTGTAATATATATACGAAACGTAACTCTCTCTCTTTCTATCTTCACTAACTTATATCTCCCTCTCAACTTCCGTTCGCCTCGCCGGATCATACTTTTCGTCACGCAGTCACCAGCTTACTCCCCAAGTCAAGCGTGCGTAATGAAGTTTTACTTAAAAAAAAAGATGTATTAGAATCTTCGTTATATTTATATACCTGGATGACAGAGCTTTGCTCGGTATGGTTTTTGGTAAGTTTAAAAAAAATAAAAACTAGCTAGATCGATTATAATTATTCGCCCCCGAAACCCCGCATACTAAATTTCATGAAAATCGTTGGAGCCGTTTCCTAGATTCAGATTATATAAATTTACATACATATAAGAATTGCTCGTTCAAATTTATTAGATATATTTAATATTTAACCAACATTTTTACACAAGCCTTCGTAAAAAATGACAATCGTTACTAAAATATTACTCATCATTTGACAATTGACAACAGTTGTCGCTGACAGTCGCTGTCTCGCATAGTCTCGCATGTCTCCATTTGTCAATGTCACTCGGCGAATTAAGACGTTTGTTTAGATAGACTTGTAGGTAAATCTCACGCTGTACTCTGATTTTATATATTGTTTATTTTGTAGCCTCTTACTGTAATAATGGATGAGGAGGCTGGAGGTTTAACCCAAGATGATTTTATTTTACCCCCAGTGAAATATGAATGTAAGTAATTTCATATTATCAGCACAATATTCCAAATTGTAATCATGAAACTTATATTATTTTTTAAAATTCCAGATTTGGATCACACGGCCGATGTACAGTAAGTATATTTGAAATAAAATCTCAACAATGATGCATGTATGCAAAATGATGCAATATAAATTTGATGTATTCTCAATGGATAAATGTTATCTTTTTAAGATTGATGACTAACTTGTAAATTAGCTTGTTACCGAATCTATGGTCTTTTTATGGTGAATTGTTTTATTAATTTGTCCATATTTACCTCTATACTTATTTTGATCACCTCTTGTGTTTTGAAAATGGATGTTTTTGTCTTTATACTTTAAATTACCATAATAATTATAAACATGCATCACATGATCCTTTAATTGAGGCCACATTTTTAAGTCTAATTTTGTAACACAACCAAAAAGTTTTTTTTGATAATAACATAGCAAAGTGAGGATTGCTTCTTCTCATTTGGTGTATTATTTGCGTATATATTACAAAACCAAGTAAAAAGAAGTGAGATATGCACTATGATAATGTAAACTTGCAAAATATTAGTTTTGACCATAATCAAAGTAAATGCCATATGGAACAGAATGTGAGTATGGCGTTTTTTCATTAAGAATACTAAAATTGTGCTGTGATCTCTAGAATGTGTTAGATGTTTTTGGGAAATACAAAGCAAATTGTAAATCAGTTTGATGGATGTCTCACATCAGTAGTAGTTGAAGTCACATTTTGTGGTAAATATCCCAGATTTTTGTTACTATTTATTACTAAGATTTGCCAATGGAAACCACCTAAATATAAAGAGTAAGCCTCTTCTTTTTTTTATTTTATTATTATCATTATTATTAAAATTAACTTTGATGAAGTAGTTTAATTACACTTAGTAATTGCATTTTTATAAGTATAAAATATTACCCACTGCTTTATTTACACACAAGTTATTTTGAAAGGTACTCTCCTCTATATTTCTGCCCTACTCTATATTTCTGTATGATCGCATGAATGATGAAGCAGCACATACACTACTAATACTTTGATGTTATGAACCAAAATTTCTTTACTTTCTTACAAAATACTTTGATATTATGAAAAGAAGATGTCTAATGTTGGAAATGTCATTCTAGTTTTGTACCTTTTTTTTCTGTGCGGAAATCCCCTTGGATACCAGCCATCGGTGGGGTCATTATGTAGGACTCGAACCAACTAAAAACCGCACGCTGTTTCTGGTATCAGTAGCCGGGGAACCAAGTGTACCGTAAGAAAGAAATCCCTGATACGCCGACGTACCTCGGGCCATCTACGGCGTGTAGAGGAGCTCCTCCTGTGTGGGAACTCCTAGTCCCCTTTGTGCTCCCGAAAGAGCGCGCGCTCCTCAGCGCGTCTCGCCACTACCCCTGCTTGCTTCTGCTAGGGTGACCAATGACCTCACCTACCACCCCCAGGCCTCCGCTTCTAAACCTCTTCCGGCAATCATGTTACCAAGCGAGAGAATTCCAACTCCGATGGCCGCCACGAGGCAACGCCTCTGCTCCAACCACGCCTTGTATTCTGCCAGAGTGTGGTGTGTCCACGGTCCGGCCATCGCAGTGGTGGCACTCAGGCGTTGGCTCGAAAATTATGGCTCCAACATATTTTTCTATTTTCGTTATAGCAATAATTTGAACAGTTTTGGCAGGCGAAATATAAAAATATAAAAGCTATTTCATATCTTATCAGTTTGAAAAAAAAAACCTGCTATTAATATCTTTCATTCTGATGGGAGAGTTAATTAAAAAAAAAGAAAAATAATTTCGATATTATTTTTATCTCCGCACGTGAGAGAAACCAATAACTGAAATGGTCATTCTCCTTTACCTCTTCATAATATTTGTATTTCTCATTTACTTTTCATATTACAAGAGGTAAAAAAAAACTGTTGTATTTTTTTTAATTTTCTTTTATACAAACGTTGACGTGGCAATAACGAACACAAAAAGAATTATCCATTTTGGTGCAGTCGTTCGGAAGTCATGCATTCATAGATTTCGTCGATTCATTTTTATTTATATAAGATTAGTATAAAGGTAATGAAAAGCCTTTAAAAATTAAATATAAAAATAAATTATAGTTAAAAAATACGCTGATTTTGCTTTTGCTTTTAAATCATTAATGATGATTATTTTCTCATAAAGACTAAAAAAGTAACAAGTAAGTAAGTAACATATTCTTCAGCACACACCTCTTAGTACGTAGCAAAAGACGCTACCGTATTTAAAGGTATGGAAAAAACCGTTAATACTGAAGATTCTGATCAGGATAATCTGCCATTTTATCAAATTACTGTCATACTTGTCATCGGTCTTGTGTGTCGATAAGTGTGCTAAGTTTTAATGCAATTCGACGTTTTGAAGTGGGTCAAAATCACGTTCGAAGATTCCATTACGTACACACATACATATACATACCATGCTAATATAAGCGTGTTACTAAACCTCATCAGTTATCCAAGTAAATGTTATAATGTTAATGTCGAAATAAAATATCTTACTCCCACTTTTATAAAAGTAAAGTTAAAGTATTGGAATTACCATATACTACTTAGTACAGTTTTGCAAAAATGTTAATAAAAATCCAAATAACATTCGGCTACTTAAACTTTCGCACGCAACTCGATCTGAAAGGAATCCTTTGGGAACTACAATGCACTAGAGGAAATGAAACTCACGAGAACTGCTTCAGATACGAGCCACTGCTTTCTCTGACACACTAAACGTCAAGATGTCTAACCCATTTCGACACTAGCAAATAATCTGAATAAAAGTGAATAAAGAATTATTTAAAGCAACTTAGGGCTACTGTTTCTTTTCGAATTGTTAAATTACCTTAAATTTAAGTTACCACTTTTTATACGAGTAGGTATTTAAGAAATAGTATGACTTGTATTAACCTAGTAGGCCATATCCTCCTGTCTACAGAGAGGCCTATTAAAGGCTGTTGATGTTATATGATGTACTAGCTGAGACCCGCGGTGTTACCCGCGTTTGTTGTTATAACCGCCGGCAACGCCGCGGGGCGAAGCTAGTCTAAAAAAGTAGCCTAAGTAGTAACTCTTATGTCATCAGCTATCTGCCAGTGAAAGTCCCGTCGAAATCGGTCCAGCCGTTCCAGAGATTACCCGGAACAGACAGACAAAAATTGTAAAAAATGTTATTTTGGTATATGTACCGTGTAAACATACAACTGCATTTAGTAAAAAGCGGTTATTTTAATATTACAAACAGACACTCCAATTTTATTTATTTGTATAGATTAACCTACATTCTTACCAATTCCAGGTTGCACGCATGGGGAAACACACTCAAGGAAGCGTTCGAACAATGCGGCATGGCGATGTTTGGTTACATGACAGAGTTGAATTATGTACAAATCAAAGAAGTCCACACTATTGAAGCAAACGCCGACGATATGATGGGCCTCCTTTATCACTTTCTCGATGAACTGTTGTTCCTTTTTTCTGTTGAACCTTTTCTAATATGTAAGAAGTTAGCTATCACAGAATTTAACACGGAAGAGTTCAGAATAGTTTGTAAGTGTTACGGTGAAGAATTTGAAATAGGTAAACACCCTCAAGGTAGTGAAGTGAAAGCTATCACATATTCAGCTATGCAGATAGTCGAAGAACCAAAAGATAATAAGTACGAAGTATTTGTTATAATTGATATATAAGAATTACATTTTTTTGAAATTTTATGAGAATCTTTCTATTACTGAATACGGACATCCTTTATGACATTTATCACAAGTTCAGTTAAGCAATTTCGATTTATTTTATTTTACAGACCTACTTAAAGTAAAATTTCTAGATAATGTAAATTTAATGTGTTTTTTAGATTTCACGTGTTTATGAATCATAAAACAATCTAAAATTCTTTGTTACCAGATAGATATAATTTGGAATGGCATAATTTGGGATTCACCATTTGTCTAGCATTTAAACGGGGAACTTAAGCTAGATACATTGCATCGAAATTTGATGTATTTACTAATTTACACGAAGCAGGGTTTTTTACTAACTGCTAAAACAAAAAATAAAGACTAAATAAACGCTATCGCGTTTTTAGTAACTTTTTGTTTTTAACATGATGACATTTTCCTACTAGGCCTATTATTACTGTTCACTAATCTTCTGAAACTACATGTCGACGGACTAAATGCAACCGTATCTAATCCATTTGGAAGAATGGTGTTAATGCTGCATAAATCTTCATCAGCTACAGTTTTTCTTTTATCTAAATTGACATACAAGTTCACGTCTCATTTGAAGGTAAGCGGTTATCATTGCCTATACACGTTCAACATCTGTGGTGTTGCCAAACCTGTAATTCGAATTCTGGCGACTGAACTCACTAGCGGCAAAACAATATTAAACTTGTGGTGCTGGTTAAGTGACGTGTTCTCTAGGTTAAAATTGTACCCCTAGTTGTATTATTTTAGTAGGATTTAAATTTTAATAGAAATAAGACGTGGGCTAATTCTAATTTGTCCCTAAAGGTGGAAGCACAGACCATGACAGTTATTAGTACGCTTTTAGATTTAAAAACAATGTTTATTGGTGCATTATTATAAGTTTTCAAACGTTCCATTAAATTTCCATCTAGAGAATTTTCATGGTCGGTACCATAAGAAATCCTCTACGATATAATATTTTGGACATTAGTTATGATGTCAATATTGCCAAATAATTAAGACGATTATATTCTCTTGACATTATAGCTGAGATGAAGTATTAAATATTTTATTACGATCACCCATCTGATGTCTAAAACCTGCCTGTATAACTAGTTTAAAATTTTAAAGATTGTAACGAACACTATCACTAGCTACGTCTGCTACGGCACTACGGCTACGCTACGATGTCTACGAAACTCAAAGTGCGACTAAATAGTATTAGGTTTTTTGACAAAGTGTATTTTTACTTAAAATTAATCTTATTTGCCTCAAAATATACATTTTACTCCATATATAGTAATTAAATTAAGTAATAACTTTATTAAAGTTTTATCTTAGTAAGTACAGCAGATTATTTAAAGTATCGGCGAACCACCCGGGCCGTGTGCTTATTTTCTAGGATGAACAAACACAAATATAACCTAGTGATTTGCATTGTCGAGATTTGCAGAGGTGGGACGCAAGTGCGACCACACCAATATGAATCTTTAAAGAAGCACCAAATTAGGTTTGAAATTTAAAACAACAGCCTTCAATGGTTCACTGCTGGACATAGGCCTCTCTTTAAAAAAGGAGGTCTTGGCCTACTATACGGTTTGTGTCAAGCCCTTTGAGGGGATTTTCCACCTGGGCTGGGTGTAATTTGTTACGCCGATAATACTTTGGTCACAGCAAGGAGGCGAACTTTCAAGAGGCAGCGCGCCTGGCCACCAGGGGAGTCTCTCTGGTGGTCGGGCGCATTGAGTCGCTGGGCTTACCATGGGCCTCTTCGTAGTCTACCCCCCGATGCTTTAATCGCTTTAATTGCTTTAATCAACTCAGATGCTCAGGCTCAAATGAAATATCTGGGCCTGATCCTCGACGGGAGGTGGTTCTTCGACAAGCACTTCCGACAGTTTGCGCCGAAGCTGGTCCGCGCTGCGTCTGCCCTTGGGCGACTTTTGCCCAAACTGGGAGGACTTAGCGTCGCAACGAAACGGCTGTACACAAGGGTTGTCCGGTCAATGGCAATGTACGGTGCACTAGTATGGGCGGTGGCTCTGACCGCTCAGAATAGGGTACGCCTATGGCGTTCTCAGAGGATATTGGTGCTTAGAGCCATACGCGGTTACCTCACCGTTTCGACGGAGGCGGCGTGCGCATTGGTCGGAACACCCCCTTGGACTTGGAGGCGGAAGTGCTCGCCGAAGTATATCGGCGGACGGCTGAGTTCCAAGCGGATAGCGGCATTCGGCCCCCGCCCGAAGAGATACGCGATTGGCGTGAGACCGCTCGTCGAGACAAGATGTGCTAGCAATGCCGCCGCGGAGGCGCTCCAGCCGGTCATCGTCCAGTGGGCAGGGCCTCAGCACGGGACCCTTTACTTCCGGCTGACGCAGGTCCTTTCCGGGCACGGATGCTTCCTGAAGTACCTGCACTCGGTCGCTAGGAAGGCATCCCTTGCTAATATTTTACAATTTGACCACGTTGCACGCGCATACGAAATAACTGCTATCGGCTTGCTTGGTCTACGTTTAATACTAAAAATAATTACTAGAATATCCTTACAATTTAAAGTGAATGTTTATTTGATAAATGAATTGTAGGACAGTACTTTTTCCTCTGACACCATATATTTAGATATTATTTTGAACCAGGTATATTAGGGACTAATCCCACCCACACGCCCACCACTGTAACCCCTGTACACCAGGATCCACAGCAGTGACCCACGAACACACCGAGTTATGACACTCGGGAAGTCCCAGGAAGAAATTAAACTGTCTTGGAACCCGCAACGAAATTAATCAGGAGAAAATTGGAGGAGTTGGAAATACAGTAAATCCACTTCCCACCTTAGCAAAGCGGGAGACAAAATGAAGTAAAATAGGCATACACCCTTTTAAACAGGGAAGCACCACGGCCACAAAAATATTACGGGTCCTACCTGAGCTATATTTGATTTCTATAATATGTATGGCAGAATCGCCTAAACGCACGGAAATTCACCCTAGTTGACACAAGATCCCCATAGTATATCGCCCGAGATGTCACCTGCAAGCTATTCAGCATTATTTTACGTTCATTATACCAAAGACTACATTCCCAGAGGATATGATGAGCAGTCTGTTCATAGTGAGAGTTAGGTGTTGAGCATTGACACAATGGTGACTCGACTAATTTAAATGAATACTTGCTCTTAAAGGTACCATGACCCGTAAACCCGTAAGAAATTGAGCGACACAGTGATTCACCTCAAGCCATGTCCTCGACAACCGTTCGCGAACAGATGGAAAGAATTGGTAAAGATGGCGCCCCTTGGATGATTCGTCCCAGCGTTGCTGCCATTCGTCTATGAGGTCATTATAGACATCGGACTGCTGTTGAAGCAATCTTGTAATTTTACCATGATCCCGCGCGCCCAAAAAATCGTATTCCATGTTTTGTCTTGAATAGTACATGGCTGCACGTCTATGCACCTCCAGATCGACCGGAAGCACACCCGCCAGCACCGGCAAAGCCTCAGTGCTAACCGCCCTATATGCCTTGCACAAGAATATCAGTGCAAGTCGTTGGCCTTGTAACAGTTTGCGACGGACAGCGCCCATACGCGTTCAGAGTACATCCGGATGGTATTGGTATCGCAAGAAAATGTCGAAGCCGATATTCCACAAGTATGGACCTAGCACCGATCCCTGAGGACATCCCATTGTAAGCGCCTTCGACACAGAATGATGACCAAGTCTTAGTTTAGTTGTACCTTGTGAAAAGTACGAAGAGATAAGGGAATAAATATTTTTAAAGCACGCCCGTGATTTTAATTTCAGCAACAACATGGGCCACCATGCGTTGTCGAAGGCGCCAGATATATCTAAGAAAATAGCCAGCACGTATTAAAATTTTGACTCAGTGACACAATTTCTAACCGATATAACAGCGTCAGTTGTCGATTTACCCAACGTAAATCCAAATTGTCTATCATGAAATTTGACTCCACCTGGCAGAAGCCTTGGCACTACCAGATGTTCTAAAAGCTTTCCTAACGATGGTAACAATGTGATTGGTCGGTAGGATTTAGGATCATCCGCTGGCTTGTCGCCACTTTTTGGTATTATACGAATAATACCGCCGCCATATACGAGGAAATATTCCTTCAGCAATGCAACGTTTAAAGACAGTGAAAATCGTGTCACCCGAAAGTTTACAAGCTTCTTTTATCATTTTGTTAGATATTTTATCATCTCTTATTTTATCTCTCTTGTTTAGCGGCAAGGATCTAATGATACCGAACCGAACCAGGTATACCCTAGAAAGGAAATCCCTGGTACCCTGACGTACTTTGGGCCATCTACGGCGGGTAGATGACCGCCTTCTGTGTGGGAAAGGGCTCCCGGTAGTTCACAATGCAAGTATACCTAAATAATTAGATAGGTAGTTGCCTACCAAAGGCTGATCTTTATCATCCTAATTTATCATCATCATCAACAGCCTTTAATAGTCCACTCCTGTACATAGGCCTTTCCTGAGAAAGGAGGTTTTGGCCTACTAAATCACGCTGGCCAGACGGGTCGGTATAGAGTTTGTTTCAAATTTTCCTTCTGTTTGCAGTGCTGTTATAGGTACTGCAGTTTGCTCCTTAGTCGGCTCTTGTAACACCCAAGGTATGATTAGATTTATTTATGAATTATTATTGTCGTATAGTCAGGGTACCTACTCACAAGTTCTGTTTGCAAGGTAAGTTTTGAATTAGATTTGTAGATAAATGGGATCGCTGACAAATTCTACACATAAGTAAGATGACAAGAGATGTTACGAAAACATGCCTTGTGTTCATTCACCCACAAACCGTCGTCGTTACGTCTTAACCCCAAAGAGGTTGTTAGAGGCCTATTAAACCGCTCACATTTTGACGATCATAATTTTAGGAGCCCCGGATACACGATTTTTTCGAACTAGGGAAGAAACTTAATAATAGCGCCCCCTCTCTCCAGCGTTTGAGGTAAAAAACTGAAGTAAAA